GTCAGTAATGGTGGTTGATTAATTCTGTAGCACCACAAGCATAACAAAACCTCAATAATTGGATAATGGTTCAAAATCCTGCTCCCTAAGAAACTATGCTGTCTAATGAAGGGTATCAAGCTAGATGCAGACCAGGTGAGTGCAGGGTTTAAATATCCAATGATATGATGATGATCATCATCATGATTATAGAAAGGGGCATTTTTCATATTTTTTAATGACTATTGTCTTGTCACATTTCTCATTCACATATTAAACATAAGTATCATCTGTTCCACTGAGATCATAAGGTGCAGATTTTGCTAGTAGTTGAAAATCAAAAGTCCAACTAAAATCAAGAAGTTTAATCCTTGGCAAGATGTAAAAGAAAATTGAGATCATACAAGCCCAAAAAGACCTGCAGGCCAAGCTTCTACAGCTGCACCAAGCTCTCTACTGTGCAACATGATCCCTATATTAGAACAAGACAATCAAGAAGCACAGTGCCTATATAGTTTAAAAAGAAAAGAACAAGGGTGGTCATTAAACTCACCTGAGATAAAGAATATCCCACAGGTACTAAATCTTGACAAAGAGAGTTTGTGGGCGAGACAACCAGGAGTTGGATTTACAAGTCCTAGAGCTATCCCAGAAAGAAGAGCTGACAGAAAGGAAAAAAGAAGAAAGAAATTAGAATGATCACTTTTGATAAAGATAGCAGATACAATTCAAAACGACACCTAATACCAACTTAAAAAGCCAAATCAACACAAGACACATACAAAATGATACAAAGACCAAAAGTAGAAGGATACTTATCTCGGACAGTCCAATAATTCTTTGATCCTTTGAATAAGTGCAATATGAGTCAAATTTTCTGTCCGTACTTTATGTAGATTAGTTCAAAGCAGAAAAAAAATACTACTATTTCAAAATGAGAATTATCCTGATTTTCATTTGAATGCTCCCATTTGTTGAACCGCTGTCTTAATTTACAATGCTTCGAAGTAATAAACAAGTGGGCAAACTAATTCTACAGAAAATAAATCAGGACCTTTATATTTCAAAGATAAAGAAAGGAAGTCCAACTGTAGCGATCGAGGAGCAGTATATCAACAACCAAGCATAGCTGGTAAAAGGATCTACCTAGAGGAAGGAAATTGGTTGCCACAAAGTCCAACAACGGCTCTGCCCAGGTAGATGCCTTCTGAGAAACTGAATCCTCGGAGCTTTGGTTTCCACTACCGCCTACCTGAAACGTGACTATTCCTTGTTTACTAAGATAGCGCAAGATATGCACATTTCAGACTTCTATTCCATTATTCAAGCGCATTCATATGCACATAAGATAAGACCTAAGCCCTAAAAAGAACACACATATCTCCACCGGATCACATAGAAACAAGAAATTTTAAGACTACGGATCGATGGGTTTTCATCCGAAATTAAATGTAAGTGGACTACCGCATTTAGAATCATCAATAGGAGAGTAGTAAACCTGATCGAATCCTCCGACGGCCCTCGCAAGCCGGAGAACAGGGCGGGGCTCGGCGAAAAGCGGCGGATAAACGATCGGAACGATAAAATTGGCGGAGAATCTGATGGTATTAGCAGAAAACGGGAAGGTCCGAGGACGAGGAGCGGCGGTCGATGCGACCGCCGGAGGCCAGCGAGCGAGGTTCCGTTGAGCAACTGCAACTGCCACTGCCACTGCCATGTGTGGATAACTTCGGACCAGACGAGGACGAAGCGGCGAGCGAGGTCCAAAAGAAGTGCCTCTGTTTTGGGCTCCGTCACTTATCTTTGTATTAAGACCATTCGGGCCCAGCACTCGATGTTATCTATATTTAAAATTTTACCTTATCATAATAATTAAACAAATAATTATTTATGCAATATTAATGCAAATTACGTATATTTCTAAAAGTATATTTTTGAAATATTATAAGTTGTTAAAATAAGGCTTTAAATAGTGCAAAAAAGCGTTGTCAATTAAATATTCAATTATTTTTATTTTTTTATGGTATATATTAAAAGATTGAAATCATTTGAAGGGAATAAAAATAAAGAAAGAAAACATACAAAAGCGGAGGCTGCTTTTCCGCCTCCGTGTGGGAAGCTACCGATGCCGTCCTCATTCCCATCCACGGCCATGGCTTCCTCCTCCTCCTCCACATCGGAAAATCCCCGGATCTCCGATCATTTAGCGCTGGCGACGGCTCCGATCTCGGGGAGGTTGGCGGTGACCGCGTGTGCGGCCATGGCATTCTTCTACGTCGCGATACTCTACTTTCCTACCCTAATACTTCGCCTTCCTCCACCGGCCTCGCTCGAAAGCTTCATGATCCGGCGGTTCGCCTGCGCTGTCGTCTCCTCTGCAGTCTCTGTAATCTCCTGCCTCTTCCTCCTCGGAGTAAGCCGCCTATCTTTCCATCTCCTCCTCCAACCTCGTTTCAATAAACGCGAATCTGACTCCAATTCTTTTAGTAGCTTGGGAGACTCGACGATTTTCCAACAATTCTGGGTGTTCTTGGGATCAGGCGCGACCACTTGGTAAGTTATCGAGCTGCGGCGCTTGTAGGGTTTCTATGCGGATGAAATTTCTTAATGATGGGAGCGGATTGTGCAGTGGCAAGCTGCGGTCTTTCCTATCCTACTGACATCCTTGATATATGCCGGGTCATTCGTTTCAAAGTCATGGAAGCTTGTCAGTAGATGGAAAGATGAAGGTAGAGAAAATTCTTTCTGCAGTGTTGGAATTTATGGGCGTAGATGTAAAGATTGGGTCTGTGCATACGCGCGGAATGTTATGGCTTGGCGTAACTATGTGGTGGTAAGGGCTTTACTTCTGGATTTTAATGCTTCCTAGCATGTATCCATTGTTGCACCAGGGTTTTAGTTGACTGTCTCCACCCTTCTCTCGGTCTAAAATAGAAAATATGTGTTCTGGCTGTTACTTATGTGTGTATATATGTATATATAAAGTAAATGAACGTATATTCTTGTGATGCAAGCCAGGTCATGTTCGGTATAGTTTGAGATTTGAGTCTCGTTAAGTTAGAATGGTTCTTTGTTTTTTTTATTAAGTTTTGTTGCATTGATATATTTAGTTTTAGAGGCAACTCAGAATTGATTTAGGGGTTAAAAAAAGTCAGTGGATAGTGTCCTATTTTGTACTTATCTCTTCTTGGAGCCCTTGATCATCAAGGAAAGGAGTTCCAACATGACTAAAATGTATTCAAAGGAGGACAAGTAGAAATAGCGTTTGACTTTCAATGTGTATAGCATAAGATGGTGAGCTGTTAAACCCATTATATGCCAACTTCGTTCAGTGAGGAATTAATTGCTTGATTGCAGCAGGCCTTATCTAGTTTTGTTTATTGTATCTCTCCTATTTTCCATACCATGTTAAATTATTCTACATCATATGATGTCAAAAGTAGATCTATCAAACAATCGTCGTTGTCCTTTGAGTCGTGCAAAGTAGATCTTGAAACTCAATGCAGTTAAAACTAAAAAAATACTTCTGAACTCAAAAGTGCCATCGAGAAGATCAGAAGTGCCTGGGACGAGGTATAGGGTAGCCTAAAATAACAAAGTGCAAAGGAATGTTTGACAAACAATTAGATAATATAAGTACAAATGATACGTTAAAATAAGGAAAAGCATAAATGAAAAGCTTGATTATCTTAAGAGCCAGGGCAACTTATTTGAAGTATGAAGGTCAACAAGGGAAGAGGACCTCTATGCAAATATGAACTTGAAGAATTAAAGACATAAAATCTGCAAGGATCAATCAATCAATGATCTGGACATATGCATAAACATGAAATTTGTTTTGAAATTTCTGTTTTATAGTTTACAAGTCACATGCATACATTTTATTTCTTCCTTTGCCTTTGTTTAAAAGTGTGGTATTATTTTTTCACTTGGGATAAACTGATAATTAACTTCTATGGGCAGGCACCAATCACTGAAGAGCTTGTTTTCAGGGCCTGTATGATACCATTGCTTCTCTGTGGAGGATTTGGAACTTATAGTATTGTATTTCTCAGTCCAATTTTCTTTAGTTTAGGTAGATGCTAATCTCTTTAGTGTTGCTACTTTCCATGTTTCTGTCCTTTCTTTTGTGTTGAATATGATAATAGCAAGTGGTCATTCAGGAAATTTTGTTATGCATACAGCTCTAAATTTATGTACTGTTTTATTTTATGCATGATTCTTAGGATAAACGAACTCTTAAAAGTTCTAGACATGGTATTTCTATGATTGTCCATTACAACTTCCATGTAATAAAAGCATTTCTTCTTTCAATGATCTTGAAATCTCATTTTGCCTCTTTTTTCCTTTCTGTTTCAGCTCATTTAAATCATTTTTTGGAGCTCTACTACCAGCAAAAATATAGCTTTATGAAGGCTTTCCTGATTGTAGGTACTTCTTTTATTCCTGGTGTTGATTTGTCTTCCACTAGTTCTTCTAAGTCATGGTTAAAATTTAAAAGTACTGTTTGACATGGTTCTACTTTAAGGCTTTATCTGACGTCTTTTGTTATTATAATTTTTAATTGCTACATCATTGTTGTTAGGACTCCAGCTTGGTTATACCGTGATATTTGGATGGTACACATCTTTTCTCTTCATTCGAACAGGTTTGTGCATTTTGAATATGCTCCTGTGTAAGATATGATGCCACTTCTTTTTTTTACTGTAGTTTTAATGGGCATGAGTTGACTAGAAGCTTCTTTTACATGGCCTTCTGTTTCAACAGTTTCTGTTTAACCTTTGAAAATAATGGTCACAGTAACTTTAGGGTTCTGGTGACATAGTGGTTGCTATGTGGTCAATGAAAGACCGTGCTTGGCTGGTGGTAGCTATTATAAAAAAGAATTTTTATGTACTCCAATAACAATGGCGCAAACAAACACCAGTTCTGGGTCTCTGAAGTGACATCACATGGGCTGTGGCCTTATTTGATGTTATTGAATATTAATTTTGTTTTAATTAAAATAATTAATCATGACCTTACAGTATATATTTTCTTTAGTTGTTTATTGCTTAGTAGTATGAGTCTAGGGATGGCATACACTTTTTTTGTATTTTGCAGATGTAAATACATATGCTGACATGAATTAATCTATTTGTGCCATATACAGGGAGCCTAATATCTCCCATTGTAGCGCATATATTCTGTAATGTGATGGGTCTGCCCGTGTTGTCATCTCCAAGGACGAAAGGTTTGTCTACTTGTATGATAAAAATGATTTAGATGTGGGATTTATTGTCTGGTTGAACATAATTTTATTTCTTCACTATGTATTATGGTGCTTCATACTACATATTACCTAAACTTCTGCTTCAATAAGCTTATGTTTGCATCTGATTTGTGCCTATTCATCTTATTTATAATTATTTTAAGTCTCCTCTATACTAGAGTAGCCTCTTATCAAAGTTCTAAAAACCACTCATACCTCCTGGTATGTTTGATTTTTACAGGTCTGACGAGGCACTGGAACATGGACTAGGCAATTTTGGTCAGTCCAATTTGAAATTAAGTGAACTATTGGTACATTACTGGATGTACCACCCTATATTGTGGTAACATCACCCCTGGTTACCTAATCCTATAATAGATCCATTAAGAGTTTGTTGAGGCCCTTTTAGAGCTTCTTGTAATTCATTATTAGGTCATTAACTAATTTTAGAAGTCAATATCAAAGCCCATGTTTTCTTTATATATAGTTGTAATTCATATCTATAACATATCTCAATTCATTAAGTACTCATTATAGTCAAAACTTATATATATTTACTGATTGTTTACTCTTATTAGGTCAAATTTATTAAGATATTTTTTTGGGTCGAATTGCACTGACCATACCCATGCCGACTGATATGGGCCAGGACTAGTACTGGTCTCAGACCAAGATTTAATACTTTGTTTCTTGTATCATGTTGCATGAATGAATTGACCAAAATTTTTTGTGTATCTAAGATTCTAAGTATCCTTGATGCAATTCGATTTTTCTATTGCAGTGGTGTATCCTTTTTACTTGATAGTTCCTGATAAGTTAAATAACTCCCTTCCAAGGAACAGTTCTGTGAAGGATGAACTTGATCTAGGAATCTGAGGCATTTGCTCCTACTATGACTGTGTTATCTAGACTGTGTCCAATCCAGAAAATTTGTTACTTTCCAAAGAACAGTTTGGATAAGGATGAACTTGATCTAGGAAGATCTTTTTTGTTTCTTTATATTCTTTGGTCATCAAATATCCTAGTGTTCCATGATTCTTGAACTCCATTGACCTAAGGCTTCTGCTCCTATTATGACTGTGTTATCTGGATTGTATCCAACTAAGACAATCTGTCCAGTACTCAACTAGCCAAATTTATATATAGATATCATACATTTTGTCATATCAAGTTCTTGACTTTAAGGATTAGTGAAGAGTCAAATTGCTTGATAGTAAGTGTATCCTATAATTCAAATGTTATGTGTTGCCTTTTTTATTCTCCTGAACAAACAAGAAACAGATTTTCTTAAACTTTTTTTTTTCATTTTATAGTGTCATTTGTTGGCCTTTCGTATTCTCTAGAAAACAAAGCCACTGTACTTGTTTACGAGAAATGAAGCATCTTAATTTTTTTCTGATCTTTAGTCGTAAACTTGAGAGATATTCCATTACCCAAGTGTAGCATCATGGATTTTTCAAACTTTCTGTCTCGAGGCTTTTGTTCTTGTTGCCACAATTTGTTGCCTTAGCCCAAAAATGCACTTTAGAGAACAAGTACCATTAAATCAAATGTGTTCAGGTTTTGTACACTTAGGTGTATCAAATTTTATTATTTCAGATGCTGGTGGAGAGTGCTTTATCAGTAGGTGAACATGTCATATAAACTCTATGATTTGTTTTTCATTTTTCTTTTACAATAAACAAATTGCTTCATTGATTACTTACAAGAAATTAATCACTTTAAAATTTTACCTTAAAATACTGTCTTCTATACCATTTGGCAAAATACAATGATACTCCTCGTGTATCAGAATCTTTTGCATGTGCACATCTATTTTAATTTTAGCAATCATTGTGAACATGTGATGGTTCTCATCTTTATCCATTAAAATGGTGAGTATTACCTGTTACTTCTCATGTTTTCAGTGTTAATTCATCCAGATTTCTTTGTTTGTTCATTAAATTGAGATTTTTTGTATTTTTTTAAAGATAAGATAAATAACCCATACATTTACTTACAGGGACTGCAACTATAGCTGCTGCAGCTGGTCTGGTTGGTTTCTTGTATCTTTTGTTTCCAGCCACAAATCCAGATATGTACAATCAACTGAGAGATGGCTGCCGCTGTTGGCACCGTTATTGTGGTTGGAGTTGATATCGAAGTTGGTTTGTAGGAATGATGGGGCCTTTACAAGTCATCTAATAGAATTTAAGAGCCCCTGCGACATCTGATCAGACAACAAGAACGGTGTGTCCTTTATGACTCTTAAAACAGTTTACATCGTCACATTTTGATCTCTGTGATAATACTTTACACTGTGTTACCGCAAATTTTATAATGTTATCCTTGTTTGTTTTATTTTGATCCTAAATCTTTCGTTTCCTGAATTCGGTGTCCAATTCTCGTTGGATTTCATGATGCTATATGTTATGGCTGAGTCAATAGTGATATTGTCCTTCGTCAAAGCACCTTTGATTAAATCCCATTTTTTCAAAGTACTTCCTTCAAATCACTTGTTTGAGCAATATGTTGCTGATAATTATTGGGATAAAGTGTATAACAAAAATAAAGTGTTAAATGAAAATGATTAAATGTGTAAATCAGAACAGCTATCCTCCTGCTGCTGTCAGGTCTATGTTATTATCATTACTACTGCTTACTGTTATTGTCATGGTAAGTTTACATGGTAACTACTATCCAAAGCCATAGACAACCTGACATTTGCCATAATAGACAAGGAAAAGAACAAAATGTACTTTACCCAGTTGGATGGAAAGGTACCTCCTTTTGTTCATGGTTAAGGTATACAAATAATCCCTAGGAATTGCTGCCAAGCTGAGAAAAACACCCAGGAATGGACATCAAATAGATGGTAGTAGAAAGGACTATGCTCTTAAATTTTCTGTCCCAAATATAACTTGCAATGGTACTATAGGATGCAGAGGCTGCAGAAAATTTCAAGTGGAAGATCCAAATGGTACTAAACATGCTCAACTTCTAGAGAATTGGCCTCCTATGGTTGGTATGACGTGCTTATTTATACATTATTGCAAGAATGGTTTCCATTTCGCCCATTTGTCCAGATCAAATTTGTGATATTGGCGTGATCATGTGTGCCAAAGTTGGTATCATTCATCAGCTATCATTTCTATTGTTGAAACAGAGATGTCATTTACTATTCTGCGCAATTTTCAGTTTTATTAGTTCTTATATTAATTGTCATGTGGAATCAAATTCAATGTACTAAGCAGGTGCATCAACCATTTTCCAGGTCAAAACACTATTTGATTCCTTGGCTCATAACCAGAGGTTGGTTTCTAGCAGCAGGTAATTCTTTTTTCTCTTTTTCTAGATATTTGTTGAAAACTCCATGCTTATTATATGCATATTGGAGAAGGGATATTCATGGTAAACAACAGATGCCCTTTAAAAAGATATCAGAAGTGTTGCTCTTCTCTTCGTGACATATTATTGTCAGGAGTAGACAGTTTTTTTTAGCATATTTCAACTTCATTAGCGAACCATTTATCCAATCCCAAGATAAGGTTGATTGATCTAAGATTCACATAAATCGTGCATCCAGCAGGTTTGGCTCATGCTCATGTACAGGTAGTGTTCATGGAGCCTCACGACTCTTCGTTTCTTGTTTGTTTTGACATGATGATTGCTTTCATGTGGGCCCAAGTAGGACATCCTGATGGGACTTCGAACTCGAGATCATATGACGTGTTGCGGGCGATGGTCAACCTCATCCGGAGAAACCAAATGTCATAGACTCCCATTGGATGCAATCTTGCGCTGGTGCGCCGCCTTCTTCGCTTACTCTTTAGTCTTTTTGTTCTCCAAATCCGAGTGACATGTATCCATCCTCGACCAATCATCCAAGCCTCACTTCATCTTAAATTAAAGACATTATTTCAGAGAAAAGACTTACCCCCTCCTGCGATCCAATCATAAAAGCCATTGATAATAATAGCACACGGATATCAAGAAGTTCTTCGCTAGTGTTCTGAGCTACCACCAACCTAACTGGGTTGTCACTTGTTCTTCTGGGTTTGCATAGTTTCCTGTGATTGCACATGTAGGATTCAGACTTGTTGGTTTATACATCCTTGCTCGTTACTAATCACATGCTGCACCTTTCGTCCATTCACAAAGGTGTAGCTCATTGATGTTATCTGATGACCAGGGTCTGAAGAAACTCTTTGTGCCACTTGCACCTTGGTATGTCATGCTGTCACGAACGGTCGTCGCGCACCCGCAACAATTCCGTTCAACGAACCGTTCGTCGCTCACACTCGCATGTACAGCTGTTTGACAGTATGTTTTCTTATGGTTTTGGGTCATTTTGCTTGTAAATATGTAAGTTCGAACAAGCTGCAGCGTTGCAAAGCGACCGTTCACCGAACCGAGCAAAACAACCTCAAAACAGCCCAAAACGGTTCCGTTTTCGCGTGCCGCGGGAGGTGAGCGGAGTGCTGCCTCCGCTCACCAAAATGTCAGCCAGCTCAGACCCCAGGAACCCCCCGGGTGGCACATGGCTGGATGGGGCTTCAGTTATATACTGGCCGTTGAACACTCTTTCGCAAGTTCGCACGTGACCTTTACGGGAACGTGGTGTTGCGTCCGGGACCAGGTGAGCGGCTGTTTGTGGGCTTGCAGCTATTCGTTCATCCTTGAAAGCCTTGTTTTTCTCTCTCTCCCTCTTTTCTCTTGTGCACACAAGGTGTTCGACGAATTGCTTGTAAAGCTTTCCTTTTCGCGAGACTTCGGGACTTGTCCGTTGCTCGTTTTTTCGATCTAACTCTCTTTCTCTTTTACAGGTCCTTCGGGACCTGCGAGAGGTTACAAAGTGGGCTGATCCTTGCAGAGCAAGATCGCAAGGGCGAAGCGCGACTTAGGCAACGCAAGCTAAGTTCACGTCTTTGCCGCAAGAGTGACTCGCGACTTAGGCAACGCAAGCTAAGTTCGCGTCTTTGGCCGCAAGGGTGCCGCACACCTTAGGCAATTCCAGCTAAGGTCGTGACAATGCGGCAGCCTAGAGTTTTTCTTTGTTTTTTTTTAGATCTTATTATGCATACACACATACATGAAGGCATACGTTCGAATTAAAAAAATTGAATCAATTTTAATTTGAAAAATAATTAGTTCGATCAAGTTTATTATCTTAGCTCCTAATCGGTTAATATGATATGAAGATTATGCATTTGATTGAGTTGTATAGATGAGCTTTCTTAGCATGTTTAGGATAGCAATTATGTGGAAACTTTTTTAGAATGTCCATCAATTGAATTAAAATTTTGATTCATTGATTGGATTCATTCAATTGAACTGAATCAAAATTGCTATCCTAAAATCAAAATTCAAATCCATTCATTTGAATATATATATATATATATATATATATATATATATATATATTAGAAATTAATTAATCAAATCTAATTAATTAATCTTGAACCTATTCGATTAGATGTAAACTGGTTTCGATTTGAGCCATATTGTCCATTGATTTTTCGATTCGGTTCGACCGGGTTCAGTTTTAGGAGCATAAATGAACAAAGAGACGACTTGGTATCTTAACATATCTTGTACTGCATTGTATAAGGCGCAGGACTCGAGGCGGGAGCCTTGGTATGAGTGCATCAAATGGAACGTTTGTTTTGGGAACTTCAGATCTTTAGAGGAAATAATGCATAAAACTGCCCTACTGCAGCTTGTTGGGCAAACTGATCCAGCTGCATGTATAGGATCCACAATCCATCAAACCCAAAATAAAAAGTTCCGAGGAAGAGACGTGTCTTTCTATCATCAGGGATGCTGGCTTCCACTGGGGCCCATGGTGGGTGTTGGGGGAGTAGTGTTGAGGTCAGGGATGCTGGGAATGGGGTTGGAGGAGGCACTGGACTTGGCCAGCTTCTGCTTCTGTTTCAGCTCAGACAAGAGAGTCTGGTTTTCCTGGTTGAGAAGCTGTGCTTTCTTTCTCAGCCTCTCGTTCTCCTTCAGAATGTAGTAGTTCCGCAAGTACAGCTTGGTGTTGACCCTTTCCATGTCTTTGCCTGAAACAACAGGCAAAGTGTATCTAAGGGGAAAGTGCAAGCAGCAGCAGAGTAGATCACGTCAGACTGGGTGTGGTAGTGAGTCCAGGATATGCTACAGGGAATGAAAAGCTAGATTAGAAACCTTCGGAACCAACAAATCAAAACATGCATAGCTGAATCTTCTATAGAGAGACACAGAGAGAGAGAGAGAGAGAGAGAGAGAGAGAGAGAGACCAGGAAAAAAAGCAGGCAGAGAGAAACAGGAGGATGCAAAGGCAAAGGCTAACGTACTACTCAAAGTAACAACAAGGAAACAAGTATCAGCGGACGCCAACTCCTTGAGGAGAGATCGTATCCCAACGAAGGAGAAAGCTAACAAGACGAAGTCTGCATGAGTTTGCCCTTCAAATGTGCTCACCTTTCGGATCACAGGCCTTTACTAAGAAGTGAATCGAATGAGAGGGATTTGGGTGGGATAGTGAGATGTCGGGGGGTGCGGTATGGGCTCATTTATAGGATACAAGATGGCCATCTCTGTCTCCACCAGGAGAGAGAGAGACAAACACTCAACACATGGTGGCCGGCAAAGGAATCATGCATTTGGGGATTCGAGCGAACGAGGAGGGAGGAGAGAGTGAGAGGGTGGCTCGCCGAAGGGGGCATTACGGGGAAATCGCATGGGGTGGCCACCGCATCATGATGTTGCTGGAGGTGGTCGGCCCAAAGATCCGCAATGATGGCCGCCTCCGGGATAGGAGCCACCCGTCGATGCTCTTTTCTTGCGATAAAATGACAACTTTCTCCCTATCTGTTGCACAAACAAGTCTCCTATTATTAGTTCTTAGTTTCCTACTTTTAACGGACATACCTTTAGGTCGGGATGAAGGTCAATATGGTCATTTCACGAAGATTCTCACAGCATTAGACTGTGTTCTTCAGACTTAGGACGACGAAAAAGTAGACGATGATTCCATTGGCCAAGAAGCTACTTACAAGGGTGCAAAAAGCCATTGTTGTTTCCTGTCGTTCAATGTTTTCTACACTATAGTGTTTTCTTACTTTCCATGCTGAAATGTTAATCGTATTTATAAGTAGTTCTGCCCAGGTTAGCTTATTTAGGATAGGAATCATTGCGCTGTGTCCTCAACCTCAGATTTGGTGCAAAGGATTTCCCTCGAATACTTTTGAGCTTCGTGATGAGCACCTGCAATTACAGATCCAGTTCAACGAGCACACACCTTGGGGACTTTGAAACTGCATGTTCTATGGTGAAAGATGTGTCTTTAGGTTACAGTGGAAACAATCTGCGGCTCCTCTTCCCCACAATGGTGGATGGCTGTGTTCGAGAACCATTACTATACTACTTGGAGCGGGGGGTGCTGCTAGGGGAATCTGTCATTGTTGGCTTTCTTGATTCCTCCTACAGGTTTCTGCATGGCTCCAGGAACAAATGATGAGCACTCGATAGCCAGTCAAACTCATCGTTCCATGGCAGCCTCCAGGAGGAGCATTGTGGTACCTTACACCATCACGGTAGACCCAAAGATCTTAATGAGGATGAAGGAAGCAGAGCTTTCTGTATGTAGATTTGCCAGGACATCTTGGAACTCTATCTGCCTGCCATTCACCTGCATCCCCAATTGAGGAGGCTTTGGAGAGAGGAGAGAAGGTTGGATTGCATGGCCGTGAACGCCGCTCATCATGAGCAACGCAGCTGCTAGAACTGCTTCATCGACTGGTTGGTCTATTGGAGTCAGAACTTTACTGGTCCATCTTGGAGCAATTAGAATCCCAGGCCTTATAAATGCTAAGCTTTAATTGCCCTGGATCCAGATTTTACTCGGCTGGACGCGTCGTGTGCCTGTAGAACCAATTAATGTTGGCAGTAGCTTGAGAGATCTATACATTAAGGTAGCAGAATTCAAAAGGAAGACGACAGATTTGATCTTAATGACATTTAACCTAAGTAAGCACTGTATCACAGTGAAGTTTGAAGCAGTAAACGCTTCAGAAGGTACTGAAAGAGGACCATGACGAGTGCGACTCTGTGAAAGACACACATACAAGACAAACATACAACATGAGCTTCGAAAGAGAAGGCATATTACGTTGACTTTGGTTAGTGACAAGCCGGGTTGGAGGCGAGGCTGGTGAGCCAGACTTGGTCCGCTACCACTGCCTCGTCATCGTCGTTCCGGTTCCAAGTCCAGAGAGCGTGAGTCGCGTTGGCCACCTCCAGCCGACCGTGCCCGAAGCTTGCCTCCCTGAACACCGAGATCTTCGGCTTGTCCAGGTACTCCGATGCCAGCCCTTCCCTGTTGCCGCCGTCTCCTATGATGATGTGCACCGGCCCGCACGGGTCGGACCGGTTGTCGTACACGCGCGTGAACCGCTCGTACGCGTGCACGTGTCCGGCGAAGACCACGTCGACGCGGGCGCCGTACAGCTGCGCCTCCATGGCCTGCCGCATCTCCTCCCCCTCCCCCTGGTGCGCGGCGTTCGAGTTGTACCACGGCGCGTGGATCAGCGCCACCACCCACGGCGTCCTATTCCGGTCCAGACGCGCGAGGTCGAACGACAGCCACGTGTGCTGGGAGGAGCCGGGGCCGAAGTCGGCGTAGGATCCGAGCATAATCACGTGGACGGCGCCGCCGGCGACGTCGAAGGAGTAGTAGAGGTTGGAGGCGGAGGGGGCGGCGGGGTCGGCGTCGTAGGGCATTCGCCACCGGGAGTTGTACGCGACGAACGGTTGAGGGTGGATGACGGGGATCTTCTCGATCTCGTGGTTGCCCTGCGTCACCATCCACGGCCGGGAGCTCGCCAGCGGCTCCACCAGCCGGCCGAAGGAGTCCCACAGCGATTGCCGGCAGTCCGCGTACGAGAGGTCGCCGGGGAGCAGCAGCACGTCGTAGTCCTGCGCGGCCACGTGCTGGAGCGTCGAGTTGGTCCATCCAGTCTGCCCCAAATCCCCTGCATCACATGCACGATCACCATCGATCCTTGTTCTCGTGCGAACGAGAAGAAGATTGCTAGTCGGATGAACGTACCGGCGACTGCGAACCTGAAGGGCAAGGAGGAAGGTGGCGTCTTGAACGAGAACTTGCGCGTTGGGTTCGAGCCGCACCGATAATAGTAGACCGTGCTGGGACTGAGAGGGCCGATGACGACGTCATGGATTTGGCCGGAGCGGTAGAGGATGTAAGAGTAGGAGGAGGAGGAGCCGGTGGCCACCTTGGATTCACGTTGCTGAAAAGTAGAGGAGGTGCTGTACTCCACGGTGGAAGGACTGTCGTCGTCGGTGATCCAAGTAATCCTCATCCCGTCGGATCCCACGAGGGATATATGTACCTGAACACGAGGAATCCCAAATCACAAGCACATATCGCTCGGCGAGGCAAGGAAACCAGAAACGATCGAGTTGAGTCTATCGACTACGGTGCTACGAATCCGTGGGCTGTTCAAGCACAGGGCAGGTGGGGATTGGTGAGAGAGCAGAGGTATCGCCTCCTTGGGATCTACGCCCACATGCGTACAACGATGAGGTGACAGATACAGCAATTACGAGGCGGCGGAGGACGGGAACTTCTCCATGTGAGGCCAAAGCCGCAGCGGAGGAGGATGGCGATGAAGCAGGACGACACTCATGGAAGAGAGAAGCAGTGGAAGGAGAACAGGAGGCAGTACCTGTTGGGGGGTGAGGCCGTCGGCGTCGTCGGCGAGGGGGACGGAGAGCGTCTCCCTGGGCGGGGGGCGCTGGTAGGCGGCGGCGGCGCAGGCGAGGAAGCACGCCATGGCAAAGAAGGCAGCGGAAGGAAGATGAGGTGCCGACATGGCGCTGTCGCGGAGGCCTTTTCGGGTGGGTGGGGGGTGGGCGAACGATTTATAGGAAGGATGGAGAACTAAGCAACTCTCTTGCCGGCCATTAAAAGCAGAGGATTGCATTCATGCATGCCGGTGAAATAGTTCATTTCCCTTCCAAATAGAAGGGCGGAACCTCTTCTTACCATATGATAGATTGTCGTGGAAACGAACGAACTCTCTTTTTAGAATATATTTTCCTCCTCGAGACATTAGTTGGATTATGTGTTGTGTGCATTCCCCTCGCCATAGATTAGTTCCCTCTTTTATCATGTCTCCTTTAAGATCTTGAGGAATATATGGAAACATCCCCTTGTTGATCGTCGATGCACTGATTTTTATTGATCGTCGATGCACTGATTTTTATTAGGAGAAGTGAGAATTATTGTAGAAATGTGGTTAGGGCTTAAGCTTTTTTTGGAATCTCATCAACTATAATTATAATCCTACCATTAAGCCCATTGTTGGAGATGAATGAAGGGGAGTAACCAGCCCATGAAATATTTAGGAGTCTATTTAACACCAAAAATAAGATTGGTTAGACCAACTGAAGGCTGTTAATTTACGAATGGGTAGACTTTATTTGGTGAGAAAATCTTTTTTTTTTATCTTAAGACAATATATTACTGAGTTCTATATATATATATAACCCTCTCAAAGATAATTATATCAATTAAAGCATATAAAAATAGTTTTATCTAAATTTTAGTAGATAATAATAATATATATATGGTACTTCTACTCAAGAAGGATAAAAATAGTTATAAACATGGGATTGATTGTTCCAAAATATTGAAGTAATAAATCTCTATTTTTGAAAAAAAAATTATTGCCAACTTTAACGGGTTCACTAAAAAAATTAGTTTGACGAAAAAATTATAATTATAATTATAATTATTATTTTAAAAATAGCATATGCAAGAATTCTAAAAAAATAAAATAAAGAATTTTATCTTCTCCACAGTATGTCGTTCGGTATGAAGGAAGATGGTAACATATTTTTTTTATTATTCTATGCATTTTTCATTGATGGGCTGTTATTCTTAAGTAATAAATGCCATATTTATTGTTCATATAGTGAATCTACTGTGTACTTAGCTACTATGAAGACAATACTTATACTAAGAAATAATAATTCATAGAAAGGCATTTATATTCGTTTTATTTTCGAATATTACGAGGATGAGTAAAGTAATATTATATTTAGATATTACCCTAATCTTTTGGAGAGAAAAATATGATCAAATTCTAAAAATATGTTTTATTTTGACTTAATTATATTTGTACTCTTTGATTTTTTTAATATAATTTGCTTTTATCATTGCATTAGGGTTTTAGTTTGTAATATTATTACTAAAAGAAACAACTGATCCATTAAATGAAATAAAAAAAGAAATTTAGGAAAATAAAAAACAATGTTTCTCTATATTGTAGTCCTCTCATCCTCTTTCCTCCCTTAATTATTGGATCATATCATCATATTAATTCAATAATAACTAAATTCATTTATTTTTTCATTATCAATTATCTTTTCTTATCAATATATTTCTTTTTTTGCACGTTCAAGAAATGACCCTAACACTCAAAACAAGAGACCGAACATTATTTCCTACAATAATCTATCTTTTTCTTATTTGCTTCCATTTTGGCCACCCTAATCAGACCCTAAGATTAATTGCTTCTTGCAATAGAAATTTCAGTTTCCAAGCTCTAAGTTGCTTACATTTTAGGCAACACAAGTCATTAAATGTAATTTTACGATGGCATGAATTTAATGGTGATGAATTTTGGTATCTTTAAGGCATCATTGGTAAAATGAACAAGATTAAGATTGACTTATAAGGATAATGTACTACTATTAACTTTAGCTTAAATATTTTGATCAATGGTTTAGATCGAACAAAGTTGATAGATTAGTTAGCCCAAGTCTGGGTCATGACATCATCATGTCAAATGCATGCATTATTTTTGTTCTGTTCTACACGATGATGGACAAAAAAAAAGAAAAAAGATAGGGATTAAAATTCAAAAGAAATCAAATTAGTAGTATCACTTCCTTTTAGATGACCTTTTAGTCTTGAATGGATCATCCATGATGTATGCAAAGCATTTAGGTCAAATGGCATTGACTTGATGAAAGGTGATAAAGCGTGTGTGTCGTGTTTCCATTAAAATCATATTTATGCTAAATGTAATAATAGGATAATTGAATAAATAAAGATCTAATAATTAATAATCATTTATTTATATTTTCCACACTTAATTTTTTTACCACCGGCAGTTAAAAGAAAAAGATAATAATGATGATGGAGAAACAAAGCGAATGGAGCGGGGGGCGGAGATCCTTCAGATCTTGTGGAGCTTGACGGCCCTGACGACGGGGTTGGCGCGGGCGATGGCAGCGCGGCCGGCCGCCTTGAAGTCGAAGGTGCAGCCGTGCTGCTCCGCGTGCCGGTGGGTCCCGCAGTAGGTTGCGCCGCACCGGCACCGGAACCCCGCCGTCAGCCCCACCCTCTTCCGGCACTTCGCGCACCGGTTCGGCCCCTTTTTCTCCGTCTCCGTCGCCGCGGCGGCCGTCGCCGAGGCGACCAGGACCGAAGGTTCCCCCGCCTCAGCACCCACAAAGGAGGCCGGCGAGGAGGAGGAGGAGGCGCAGAGGGATTCCTCGACGCCCACCTCGGCTGCGGTCGCGGACGACGACGACGACGACGCTTGCTGCGGCTGCTGCTTTTCCTCCTCCTTGAGGCGGTGGTCGCGGTAGCATTTGGAGCAGAGGTTGAGCGTCGCGGGGCTCCCGAAGAAACCGCAGTTGTTCGCGCACGGGCGGTGCCCCTCTTGGCATCGCTGCTCTTCCGCCATTCTCCTCCCTCCTCCTCTTCCTTCCCCGATCGATCTCACAAACTGCGCAATTAAAAGATGTGCATTAACAATAATGATAACAAAAAAGCAAATCTTTAGCGTCACGAATCCATAAAATCCATTGCTTCCCGTTCAAGAAACCAAACCCACAAAAAACCGAGATCAGATCCCATCAACGAACATCATCTTTAATCGTCTCAACAATTTCCATAACCATAAAAGTGACATCTTTAGGAGGAGGACAATACCGCAATTGAATCGCTGGTTAGAACTGCAAGACAAGGAGACCAAAAAACCCCAATTTTGATGAGGTTTATAAGAGAGAGAGGGAGGGTGGGAGGCGTGTGGCTATGGGGTTTGGAATGGAATGGAATGGAATGGAAAGAGGAGGTTCTCCAGGCTGGACTGGTTATATAGGGAAAGAGTGTGTTGGAGAGATACCGGAGAGAGAGAATATATACATGTATTTATGGCGCAGTGGGTATCATTTCAGGTGCTGGAGTTCTCTGGTGGGCCCCACGATGGGTAGACCAACAGTGGGCCCCGCCGCAACTTCCAATGGGGATTTTCACGAGCGTGTCCGCTGTCCGGCCCCGAGCAGCATCCGAGGTTACGGCGTGGGTATGAGTCGGGAAGGGCTAATACAATATTTCATTTCCTAACTGAACTCTACATTCGATACCCACTTTGCGCACCAACTTTTGCATTATTTATATATAGTCGCCGTATGTCCGATGTTTGTTTGGCTTGGCCTGCTCTCGGTAGCGCCAAATAGCGGGCCCCACGCGCCGACCATGAGACTTCTGCTCCCGTACCAAACGACCACGGGATTCTCGCGTCGACAACACAGGAGTACTTTTTGTTGTTCGGGGAAGAATACCTTATTATCAAAATAGAAACTCAGGGATTAATAATTAAAAATAAAGTAAAAAAATAACGATGTAAAATATATTTTTATATAAATCTTAAAATTTTCATTTTATCTTTTCTCTCATGTGATGTTAACGTCGATCATGATTATTCGAACCGAAAAAAATATTCCAATCCAATAAAGATCTTTCCAATATTCGATTGAGTTAACCTAACTTAAACATAAATCTCATACACTTTCTAATATAAAATCTAAAATAATTTAACATTATCTTTTTCTCTCCTTCATATACTTTTTTTACATTAACTTTGAACAATTCCTCCTTTTTTTTTCCACCCTCTTTAAATTTTTTGTCCATAAGAATTAAAAAAAAAATCAATCCCAATAATCTTACTTTTGTTAGTATTTTCTTCACTCTGTGTATTGAAAGTACACTTTACATCCAGGTCTTTCCAATCCTAATTATTCATCATCTTATGTCTATTTGCGCATTCCTTAACTATTTTTATCCTTATTATTCATCTTATTATGATTAAATTTCTTTTGTCATCGGCCGAAATTATTTTTTTCAAACTTATCTATTGTAAAACATGCAAAAATAATCATCAATATTTTTATTAAATATTTGATCACCTTTAAGTGTTTTTAACCATAATATCAATTTATCGGGGTAAGAATGGAAAACAAAAATATAAGGATCAATGATTAAATATAAATTTTAAAAATAATATATGATTTAATGGTTCAATAATTTCTATAAATTGATCTCCCTAGATAATAACCTCGCAGTCAAGATCTCTCTGACTACATGATAAGATATCATAAAGCTGTTAAGAAAAATCCTCTGAGAAAAATTCTCTCTTCTAAACATGTATAAATATGAAGTATTGTGTATTGTTTCAATCAATACAATTTTTTTTCTTTCTATTTCATTTCTATCATGAGCCCTCGCCGTGAAGGTCACTTCTAAATATCTCGAAGTAGACCCGTCTCCTACTATCTCGTGGACCGCGACTCCATCTCAAAGTAGTGCAGTGTTTTCCATTCCTCTGTCTCTTCCTGCATAAGCCTAGCAACTGCAGAACTGCTACACAGAGACTACAAAACTACTGCACTGTTGCACTGAGACTACAGCACTGCTGCACAAAGATCTACAGCTTTACACAATATTGATCATTGTCAATATTGATCAACAACCCACAACCCATTTACCACCAACTTTTTGGATTGTAGCATTTTAAGCTGCTGTCTACCTCATTAATCGTATGCTCACTCCTGTCCTTGAGTACGAGTCACCATTTGAAAAATTATTTTACAAATCCTCAAACCTTTAAAAACTCAAATTGTTTTGATGTTTATGTTATCCATGGCTCCGTCCCTATGCCTCACATAAGTTAACATCAAAATCTAAACCTTGTGTTTTCATTGAATACTCACTTGACCATAATGCTTTTCGATGCTATGAATCCCAATCTCGAAAAGTCTTACGTCTCGTCATGTTATTTTTATAGAGACTATCTTTCCGTTTCATAATCCTAAGTCTCCTGCTGTGCGACCTACACCATCACATATATATCACTTATGATCCACTCTCTCATTCTCTATACTGGCATAAAGCCATGTGTGAAGAATATGATGCACTCCTCCATAATTCTACATGGACCTTTGTACCCTCTCATCCTACACAAAACATCATCGGGTGTAAGTGGGTCTTTCGAATTAAGCGGAACCTAGATGGATCCGTATCCAGATATAAAGTACGTCTAGTGGCCAAAGGATTTCATCAACGACTTGGTGTTGACTTCCCAGAGACATTCAACCCTGTTGTTAAACCCATAACAATCCGACTTATTCTGAGTTTGGCCATCTCAAAATGCTGACATTTACATCAACTCGACGTTAATAATGCCTTTCTACAGGGGACCCTAACTGACGATGTCTTTATGCGGTAGCCTCTTGGTTTCATCCACCCTCAATATCCAAAGCATGCTTGTAAACTACAAAAAACTATTTATGGATTTCGTTAGGCTCCAAGAGCTTGGTACACCGAAATTGGTTTGTTTTTTGCATCAATTGGCTTCATCAACTCTAAGTCTGATACATCCTTATTTTTTGTCACCAAAGTGGCAATATATTATATTTTCTAGTATATGTGGATGATATTATTATCATAGGCAATAATCCTATAGAAGCTATTTTTTGGGAGTGAAAGCAACATACACATCTTCCGGCTCTTCCTATCACAACGAAATTATATTCAAGATCTATTATCTAAAACGAACATGCAAGATGCAAAGGTAGTTACAACACATTTGTCTAATGACGAGTCGCTCAAACTATGTGATGGGAGCTTTGCTACAGACCCAACTCAATACTATCAAGTCTTTGGCCCCTTATAGTACTTATCTCTCACCCGTCCAGATATCTCATTTACGATTAATAAATTATCCCAATTCATGCATCGACCATCTACTGTGCGTTGGTCTACAGTCAAACGAATATTATGATATCTTCATGGGACTATCAATCATGGCCTCTTTTTCATAAATACTCCCCCCATCATCTCCATGCCTTTACTGATACTGATTGGGCAGGAAATTTTGATGATAGAACATTCACATCGGGGTATATTCTCTTCCTTGGACTTAAATTCAATAGTTCCAAGAAGCAAAAGACAGTTACACATTCTACAACCGAAGTTGAATACTGTGTCATTTCCACCGCTGTTGCAAAACTCAATTGGGTCATGAATCTCATTGTGACAATGTCGGAATCACTTATCTATGCGTCAACTATGTGTTTCTCACATACATACGACTGATGTGGACTCCCTCATGAAGCCTCTCACCCACAAATCGCTTTTATTAGTCCAAGATCGATGTCCTTAACATAAGTATCGTCTTGCGGGAGCATGATAACAGTCAAGATCTCCTGTGATAACAACCTCAACAACAGCCAATGTCTCTTTAACTACATGATAAGATATCATAAAGCTATTAAGGAAAATCATCCTCTGTTTAGGAAAATTTTCACTTCTAAACATGTATAAATATAGAGTATTATGTATTGTTTCAGTCAATACAATATTTTTCTTTCTATTTCATTTTAATCAAATTGATCAATCTTTTCATTAAACTTGTATGCAATGGAACTAAATTCTTTATCATAGTTGATCAAATTATAATCATCTCGTATAAAATTCAATTCAAACATAATTCCACTTATATACTTGGAAGGAAAAAAATCACCCTTTATGAATAAAAGAAACTCGATAACTCAATACCTCTCCTCACATTCTTCTCCAAATCAAAATGTATAGATGTGTACGACATATAAACAATTAAATATATTTTTAACAAAAAAAAATATAGATTCCTCACGATCCCAACACTTCTCGCTGGCAAAATCACGTAAACTCTGAACAAGGTATTTAAATGGATAACATCTCATAATTCTATACCCTGGACGTGTTTCATTGTGCACCTCACATCATGCAGTTCTGTCTCGTCGTTGTTCACCTAATCCCTGTTAAATAAATGAATCTGCATTAACCCATGTTTGCAGGTGATATGTGTGTGTATTTGACATATGGTAACAATATATTTGTAGATTCCAGCATTAACAATTCAGAAATTAGGAATCGTATCTTAGTTTTGAGAAAGTTACCTAAACTACCTGAATGGTATTATGATATTAATCCCCAAATATTAACGACGCAGAAGGGACCGTAGGATCCGGATGAATCTTGGCGAGCCGGCTTGGAGATGAATCGGGTTAAAGCTTGGTTCGGGTGGACTCGAGTCGAACTCATCGTGGCTGCTTAAGCAGGCTGGTTTTTAAGGCCCGCGATAAGAAGCCATCGTTTTTACCGATCGAAGGGGGAACCCTAGCGAAGAAGACCTCGCTGCCACCGGCGAATTCCAGAGAGCCAACTATAGCCCGCGCGGCGCACTCCGGTATTGCTTCGCCTTTGTACTTCTTTTCTCCCCTCGGTCTCCCTTTTTGTTATCCTCCTCTGTCTTCTTCCTATTCTGTCAAGATGTTGGCGGACGATTCTGGGTTTTGGGACCATCCTCGACCCAGTGGTTTTGATCGTCGATGGCTTTCAAGTGTCTCTTTGATTTGTATTGGGTAAGGAGGCAGCGAGGAAGTGATTGGATGTTTCCCCATACAAGAGGATGGCGGTGGTTGTTTCCTGTTCTAATTAAAGTTGGAGTTTATTTTTAGTTCTCGGCCATTTAATGGTAGAAGAGAGAGTAAATTCCCAAGTGCAGATTGCAGCACTTCGAAAGGCGGTGATCGACCAACAAAAGGTTGGCTGTTCCGAGAGTTCATGACAATGCGAAAGTTGCGTTTTAGTTGGATCGGCGAGTCGGGCCGGTCCTCGAAACGAGAATATAGTGGTCTCGTCCTGACTTGCGGGATGAGGCGAGACCCGAGCGCCCGATAAGTGGGCCGGGCTGGCGAGGCAGTTCGAATCTCTGGTTCGATTGAACCGGTTGGGAGCAGTCTCTCTCTCTCTCTCTCTCTCTCTCTCTCTCTCCGCTCCGGGGCATCCGTGCCCTAATTTCCTCGGCGAACGGCGGCTGTCTTCCTCTCCATCGGCGAACGACGCCTGTCTTCCTCCGGCGAGCTTCTTGTCGCTGCGGCGACGGCGTATAGCACTTCCTCGGTATCTCTCTCTCTCTCTCTCTCTCCCTCCTCCTCCTCCTCCTCCTCCTCCCTCTTCTCCACCCCCCCTCTTTTTTTCCCGATCCCTCCCTCTTCCCCCCTTCGTCGTAGCTCCCCCTTTCCCCTTCCCCCGAGACCAACCTCCCCCTCCCTTCTCCTCCCTCCTCCTCCTTCTCCCCTTCGCCTCAGCTCCTCCTCCTTCCCCCGACACCATCCTCCCCCTCCCGTCGACCCACAGACCCCCTAGCTTCTTGTTTCCCCCGAGCGAGCACCCAGGGTCCTCAGGCATTTTGGAACCTTGGCGCTTTTTAAAGCCTAGTGGCTTTGACAACACTGCTTATACAAGTGGACAATGGCAAATGATATGCCTACTTTATGGAAAGGAATTGATTACTAATATATAATATATATTGGGTTTCCTTATACTTGAAATGTGTGGCTAACTTTGTAGATAACTAGATATTTGTCATTTGGATCTTCTCTTTGTGAATAACTTAACTCTCTTGTATAATATAAATTGGAAAGCTATTTTGTATGAATGACCCAATTTGAGTTCATATCGGTCTTGCCATTGCCCCCGTCTCCGCTGTTTACCACTGCATGCTGACTTCGAGCTATTTATGCCATTGAATTGATTGTTTGATTAGTATGATTTTTTTTTTGTTCTTGGTTGCAATTAAATAGGCATAGGTTTCTTTTTCTTTGTACGCATTTTTACATTAGTATATTAATGCCTAATAGGATGTTGCAAGATCTTGTACATTATTGATAAATTCAACGAATAGGGGTATATGAAGAAAATATATCATTTTTTTTCAAAAAAATTATATCCTTGTTGTTATTTTATTTTCTTCTAGTTTTTCATCAAGATCCTTTTGATTTTGATTTGTGCTCCATTTTTATAACATCCTTGTGATCTCAAACTTACATCAATCTTGTGATTTCATTTTGGTCTTTATGCATTATTCTAACTTCCAAAATAAGAATTTTCTTTGTACTCTGTAATTTATTTGAGTAATTGACATTTTATTTCATTATTTATTTGGGCACCTAGGGACACCAAATTTGATCTAGGAAACTTCGGCTCGTAACAAGCAATGGCTCAGTCTGATGACCCATCTAACCATGCCATTAGATTTTGTTGGGGCAAAAAAAGAGGAATTGGTGGTGCTAAAAGAAATATTCAATTCTATGAGTCATTCATGATTGACGATGTCAACTACTCATTGTTTGATTGTGTATACCTCCATGAAACGGATGCATTGGAGCCTTATATTGGAAAGATAGTGAAGATATGGGAGCAACCAGATCGCAAAAAGAAATTAAAAATTCTATGGTTTTTTCGCCCAAATGAACTCCAAAACTATTTGGGAGATCATACTCCGTTGGAGAAGGAGATTTTTTTAGCTACGGGAGAAGGTGTTGGTCTTTTCAACATCAATCCATTGGTAAGTTCTATTTAACCTTATCTTTTTATTCTTTTAACTAGTTTAGCTTCATGTGCTTGTCATTTGTTTATTGTCAATTTCATATGATGAAGGGGTTTTTGGTTGCTTGTAGGTGGTTGAAGTCAATAGGTAACTTTATAGAAGTGATGCTTTTAAAATGGATTTGCCAGATGTGTTGTTTGGTTTATTATGAAAATGATCAACAAGAGCTTATATTTTAATCTCATGTTTATTTTTTCTATAATAGTTATTTGATTTATTGGCTGTTATTGGTGGATAAATGAATTGTTAATTTGTTGATTACAAGTTTGCTAATGTCTAGATCAAGCCGCCCAAAGTGTTATGTTGTGCCCAATCTCATAACCTGCCCTAACTTGTCCCTGGGCTTAGGCCTCATCGCCCATAAGTTGAATTAGCATGTCTCTTATATTGAATTTGTCTAACACCGACACGTGGTTGGCTCTACTTGATCTTCCTCCCCATTCAACCTAGATTGTCCCTCTCTGCATCTCACCTCCCTTGCCGCCTCCTCTCCTACCTCTTCATTGATGTCTTGTCCCATCTAGTCCTCTACTCCAAAATTTGGTGGTGTGGGAGGTTGAGATGATTGGAATCACACTAGAGGTAGAGTTGTTGCAATGAAGCAGAAATCGTCTTCAAGGGATTGGACAAATGAGAAGAGGGATTGTGAGCCTTGTGGCAAAGGAACACAGTTTCCTTTTTGGTAAGTTATGTTGATTGTGGAGAGTGCTAACAAGGATTTTTTATGTTTAAAACATCACAAAATATTCACTAATCATGGATATGAAAAACTTGGGTTGGTACATAGGTCAATTTGACATGGCACAAGCTCACATGCCAATGGATAAGGATTGAACTATGTGACTTGTTTGACCTCCCAAGCACATCATGACATATTTCTTATAGTAGTGGGTCATTGTGGGCCTATATCATGTTAGCTTTGCATGACCCAAATTACTCATCTAGATATTTTCTAATTGTTTGGCTATCTAATGATTATTGGTTAGTTAATGGAAGTTCTCAATAATAGTCAATATAGTTGGCAACTAATGGTAGGTTGTTATTCAGTTGATATCGCTCGAAACTTGATGAGTCAAGGCGAGATGCTTGTGAGGATATTAATGGGTTGATAATGGTTTGCTGAATGCTAAGGGTCTATGATCCATATCGATTGATTGACGATGATTGATAGTTGTGTATTGGTTGGGGAACATCAATTGATGCTCGCTGTGGCAGGGTTGGTCAATCGGCGGATTTCAACGGGTTGATGATTGGTTGATTGTCATTCATCAATTATTAATGGTCTATGTTTATCGATCATTGAATGAATGATGGTCGACCAATTCAATCACTAGTTTGACTACATGTTTCCATGGAGGATCAATAGTTCAATGTTAACAACTTCAACAAGCAAAAATTGTTGACAATGCGTAAGTCACATGAATGCTCCTGAGGCTTCCGCCAATGCTACGTAAGGAAAGAGTCAGATGTATGCCACTTTACCCTGAAAATTGGAAAGGTTGTTTTCATGACTCAAACCTTGATCACCTCATGATTGCCTGAGTTGCAAAAAAAGAAAAAGTCACATACCTAAATGAAGGCATGGTTTAGTTGGAAAAATTTACTATGACAACTGTAAACTCATGGGTAAGATGAAAAAATCAAATATAAATTGAGAAGAAACTCTGTGACATTAGCCCTTCACAGAAGCAATAAGCTGTGACCTGTCAAGCAAGTTTACACTGCTGCTGCAACCAAAGAAGCATAAAAAAACAATGCAGCTGCAAGTAGGCAAGCAGCAGAAGAAATATGCTTATTTTTTTGTTTTTTCGTGATTAGCATCTAGATTTGCAAATTTTTGTTGTCTAGATGCTGTATTTTCTCATGATGTTATTGGTGCCACAACTTAGATATATTCCTTCCAGTACTTTGGGCACTTAGATCTTATTGCCTATTATACCTTTTCTTGAAAAACACTCTAGTATTAAGTAAATTTTTTGGACTAACATTTTAAATTAAACCAGGAAGCTATAGCTGGCAAATGTTGTGTGATCTGCACATCAAAGGATGAGATAATTTTCTCATGCTGTTATTGGTGCCACAACGTAGATATATTCCTTTCAGTACTTTGGGCACTTAGATCTTATTGCCCAGTATACCTTTTCTGAAAAACACTCTAGCATTAAGTAAATCTTTTGGACTAACACTTCAATTAAACCAGGAAGCTATAGCTGGCAAATGTTCTGTGATCTGCACATCAAAAGATGAGAGAAATCGACAACCATCAAACAGAGAATTGGAGATGGCTGACTATATCTTCTACCGCACATTTGATGTCCAAACCTATACAATATCTGAGAAGATTAATGATAAAATAGCTGGTGTTGAAGGTGTGTGCTTTCTCATAGTTAGTTTCCAGTTATTCCTTTTTCATTATTTTTTTCTGATTTATGGCTTAATGTGTTTCAGCAAAGTATCTTTTAAATCGAAAAGATATTCAGCCAAGTTCTGTTTTCATGTTTGAGGAAAAAGGTGGCAGTGGAAAAGCAGAAAATATTTCCATTTCCTCTCTCATGTCCAGGTTAGATGACAAGATCGAGTCCGCTGCAACTTCAACAAAAAGGGATGATGTCATTGCAGGCGAACTTTTAGAAGGACAATGTCCTTTAGGTGAAGATAAGGAAGATGTTCTAGTTTCAGCAAATCATGTTGAAGATAATCTTAACTATGGTAAAAGCAAATCTAATGTGGGCCTAAATGACAATAAACCTTCCGAGAAGATGAGATTAATTGATACCACTATAGAAGCTCCAAATGGTACTAGTTTAAGGAAAGAAAACTTTGAATCTAATGATAGTGGTTCCCAAAAGAAATCTACTAATGCTTTTATAGAAGCATCAAGTGATTCTAGTCCAGTGAAGCGAAAATTTGAGCTCGACAGGGTTGGTTCTTCGAAAGAGATTGTTCATGTGGGCAAAGAATCTTCTGAGAAGAATGATGCTCTGGATGGTATAAGATTTTCCAAGAACATGAAACCTACTGATGCTCCTGAATTCTTGAATGATGCTAGCTCAAGAAAGCAAAACGTTGAGTCAAATGGACCTAGTTATTTTAGGGAGACTATTCATTTGACCAATAGTGCTCATGAGAAAAGGAGTCTTATTGAGAAGAAAACAAAACCTTTGGATGAATCATCGCAAGAGACATCTTCAATATCCATTGGAAATAAGGAAAAAACTAATTATGGAGTTCTGGAAGTGACTAAAAGACCAGACGCGGTAAGATTTACTTTTTGGCTATATCTCATGTTGGTAATTAGGAAGCTTTTTTAAATTAATAGAACTTTAACTTTTAGTAGTATCTTTTAAGTGGCATTTTTTTTACATTAAATATAGTGTTTTATTATTTTGTTATGTTCCTTGCCACTTGTTTAACTTGATCATCTATGGTATAAAAAATAAAAAATGTAACTTTTTTTGAATGCTCCTTTGCTATCTCCTATTGCTTTATTACTAGATTATGAAGATTTTGTGGATTTTGATTTTTGTTGATTGTAGTTCTCTTAACAAGATGTACAATTTCGGTCAGTACCGGTGTATCGACCAATGGTCGATATGGTACGTATCGAGGTGTACTGACGATATACCCAAAAAAAATCTTAAATAGCTCCAAGAATACTTAAAAGTTGAATTAGGGTTTTTAAGTTGGAAATAAATATAAATTTAGTATAATTTTAGCGAAAATAATCTAAATTGAGAAAGAATAGTGATTGGGCAGGTTGAGGCATTGTCGTCCACGTTGCTGCCATGTCTCTAGATTGAGTGGGTTGATGAATGCGATTGAGGTGTTTCGTTGCTCGACTCGAGTCTTTTCAGTGGTGCGACTGATGCTACTACCTTCCCCTTTGCCTTTTCCTTTGCCTTTGCATACTGGGCGGACGATTGTGATGATTGGGTGTCTCTAGTTCCTCGAATAGTCTGACTCGATGTTATCTAGCTCCTGTTGCCACGTTTTGACCGTGGGGATCTTCCTCTTAACCCTTCGAAATTTGATCCAATCCATAAATCATAGCTTTGTTGAGTTTAGGAGAGTGAAAATGTGAAAATGAGAAAGAGATGTGAGTGAGAATGAGTTTGAGAGAGTTGAAGAGATTAAGAGAGGGATATGAGTTAAAAGAGGGGGGAGAAAGGGTTTAAAAACCGTTTCTTATGTTTAAACGGTCAATTTGAGTATTTGAAATAGGGCGATCTCAGTCCTTGATCAGTAACGATCGAAATCCAACCATTACTGACTGATACAGGTCAGATTTTGGATTTCGACCATTATCGTATGGTACAGACCCCGTATCGCCCGATTCGGAGGTTAGGTAATGGTACCATCCAGTAAAGGGCGGTCCGCGTACTGGTCCCTTGTCGGATCAGTACGTACCACCCATATCGAGCGGTACGGGTTAGTTCAACAAACCCTACTTCTCTAGTCAATCACGAAGATGAGATGATATGTTTGAGAGGAATATATTGATATTTATCATATTGTTTTTTCAAGAGGCAACAAATGGATAGAAGCCTTTGTTGGATGATCGTCAATCAATTCTATGACACTTGTACTAATCATAGACAGGTTGTTTAGATGCTCACCTATCAATCTCCTTTGCACCTCTTCATCTTTTGGCTTTCCTAGTGATCAATTTTGCTATGAAAGCACCTCTAATTTTTTTGAATCTTGGTGCTTATTTTTACATCAAGATATATTTTGGTTAAATGCTTCTTGAGTCTTGCTTTTCCTTTAACAAAAAAGTCATCGTTAGGGTTATCAAAACCACTAGTTGCCAAAAAGTCATTGAGGTGCCAAATTACTCGGAGCATTAAGAAAACTTCATTCAAACATGGGTTTATACAAATGATGTCAAAAGCATTAGGTGCTAAAAGGTTCCAAGGTTTAAAAAAGTTTGAGGTGATAGGCGCTCGCTTGAGCGAAGCGAGGTGCATGCCAATGTAAAAATTATAAAATAATAATTAACAAAAAAGTCAAATCAATAAAATTTTAGCAATAATAAATTTAGCTATTAGCATAATTTATAAACTACTATTAACATGAATTAACTATAATTAACAAGAATTAGACATAGTTATTAAATTTATGAGGCAAGGGAAGGCAAATGTAGGGTTTTAGGATTGGAGGCTAGCTAAGTGTAGGGGAAGACAAGGGAGGAGGGCTCAAAATAGGAGGTTGGGTGGGCGGTCGAGAGGGAGGGTAGGTAGTCGGGCCGATAATAGTTAAGGGTAGGGGTTAACAACTAGTGAAGTTAACAGGCACTTGGACGCTCCATTAGGCACCTAGGTGAGGTGAGGTGCGACACGAGCGCTTGATAAGTGGGCTAGGCTGGTGCCTTCAATCAGGAGCTATTCAAGTGTGCGCCTAGGCCCAGGCATTGGGTGACTCGCTTGATTCAAATCGAGTAGGAGTGAGCCATATCACTGGATTTCGGCCTAACCCAATTCACTGAATCTGGTTCGATCAAACCAATTCAACGAAGCTTCACACACGCACCCCTCTTGATGCATGCTTGCGTCGAGACAACCTGTGGAAACCTAAACCTAATCAGCGAATGACTCTTCCTCTGCATGGATGTTTAGTACTGTAGTAGTGTCCTCCTTTGGTGGGTTCATCGTCGGTATCTCTCTCTTACTTCGTTATCACCCACTTCATCACAATTGCCAACATCTTCCCCTCGCTCTTTCCCCTTCGTCGTAGTGCTCTTCTCCCCAATCGTTGGCATATCCTATCCCTCTGCCACCAACCTTCACCATATGGCTAAGAACTGGAGGGCTACGAACAAGAGGCTAAGTGGGTGGTTGAGAGGATGGGAAGGCTGTAGAGTTGATGACAATAAGGGGTAGGGGCTAACAATAAGTTAAGTTAACAGGAACTCGCCTAGGCTAGGCTAGGCGCGACTTGAGCGCTCGATAAGTGAGCTAGGTTGGCGCCTTCACTTGGGTGCAATCTAGGTGTGTGCTTGGGCCCAGGCGTTGAGTGGCTCGCTTGATTCAAATTGGGCAAGAGCAAGCTAGATCATTGGATCTAGGACCAACCTAGTTCACTGGATCTGGTTTGATCGAACTAGATCAATGAATCTTCACACACACATGCACGCCACGAGACACTCATGGAAAGCTAGTTGGCGAACAATGACTCTTCCTCTCTTTGTTTGTTTAGCGAATGGAGGTTGTAGCAACGTCTTCCTCCAGTAGGCTTGTTGTCGGTACCTCTTTCCTTTGTTATTGCTCGGTCTGCTCTCGTCGCTAGCGCCTTCTCCTCGCCCTTTCCCCCTTCACCATAGCGCTCTTCTCCCCCTCGGTTAGTGTCTTCCTCTGTCTCTTTCTTTCCCCGTCGCCAATGTCCCCTCTTTGCCTCATTGCAACCGCCTTCCCCCTTTGTGCGTTGACAACCTCCTCCCTGTGCCGGCGTCTTCCCTTCTCCTTCCTACGTTGATGGCTTCCTCTTTATCGTCCTTTCATCCAACGATTAGTGTCTTCTACCCCTTCGCTTCGTTGTAGCCGCCCCTAACACCCTCGACATCCTCCTCGATAGCTCCCCTCCCTCCCTCTTCCCCTCCTAATTGACAACAACCCACAGTCATCCAACTGACAGTGACCCAATCAACAATAATTAGACAACCACCCCAACTGATGGCAATTCTCTCCCATACCTCCTCCCTCTCCTTGATTCTTCATCCTAACTCCCCTCCCAATTGACTCGATAACACCCTCTTCATCCTCCTACGTTAATTGTTTTATTAATATATAATTAAATAATATAATTTGGTACTTTAAATAAATCCAATTTGTTGTTTCATTTTTTGTTTAAGTGATTATGTTTATTAATCATTATATATATATATATATATATATATATATATATATATATATATATATATATATTAATTTTAGTATTCGGGGGGTTCTTCACTTTGCTTGGGTGAGCTCCAAGTGCCTCGGGTGTTTTGACACCTTGGTGCCTTTAGTGCCTCTCGCCTCTAAATAGATTGCTAACAACAATATTTGGGTAGGGGGCTGCATGAGAAAAGAGAGAAGGGGTCCTTGAGGTGTAGAAGAGGGAGGTGCTAAAGATGAAGAGAGGGAGGGGAAGAAGGAAAAAGGGGGAGGGGGTGGCGATGGAAAGGTTGTGACAAAAAAGAGGGATTAGGGGGTGTTGGGTTTGGGCCTAAGAGACAAGGTCCTAGAAGACGAATTAGAGGGTATGGTGTTGGTGTTTGAGACAGGTACGTGGTGACGTTGGTAGGAGGGGTTGTACCATCAGAAGAAACATAGAAGAGGGGAGGAGGAAGAAAGAGAAGGGGGCTTACTATCAAAAGAGATAGAGAAGAGGTGGTACTGCACTATCATGACTAGTAGGTAGACGAATGTGGGGTTGTATCACCCAATTGAGAGAAAGTGATCGAGGAAGGGTTGAGGGAGAGAGAGCTAAGAGAGTGAGAGGTACCTACGGAGGAAGGAGGGAGGTACTGTTGCATGTTGTGCGATGGAAAGATTAAGACAAACAAGAGGGATTAGGGGGTGTTGGGCTAGGGCCTAAGAGACAAGGTCCTAGAAGACGAATTAGAGGGTATGGTGTTGGTGTTTGAGACATGTACGTGGTGACGTCGGTAGGAGGGGTTTGCCATCAGAAGAAACATAGAAGAGGGGAGGAGGAAAAAAGAGAAGGGGGCTTACTATCAAAAGAGATAAGAGAAGTGGCAGCGATTTTAATAGGCGTTCGGGCGCTCGGGAGAGGCGAGGCCCGAGCGCCGCGCTTTATGTCTAGGCGCCTCGCTTCAAAGATGCATCGCTAGGCGCTCGCCCGAGCCCAGGCGTCGGGCGCTTCGGGCGAGTGCCCGGGTTAAACCAGGCGATCGAACTAGTGTTTTACATTTGGTTTGGTCTTCGATGCTTCAGTTGGTTCGATTGAACCAACTGAAGCACCGATATCAGCCTCCCAACATCCCTCTCGTGACTAACCCAACCCTAACCTTGCTCGTCGCTGCTGTTGCCACTGTCGTCGCTCCCGCTCCCGCTGCTCGCTGCTACTACTATTGCTGCAGCTGCTACCGTTGCCACTATCGTCGCTCGCCGCTCCCGCTCCTGTTGCTGTCGCTGCTCGTCGCTATTGCTGTCGTTGCCACTATCACCGCTCGTCGCTCCCGTTGCTCGTTGCTACCGCTGTCGCTGCCACTATCGTTGCGCGCCGCTCCCGCTGCTACCGCTGCCATTGTCGTCGCTCGCCTCTCCTGCTCCCGCTATTCGCTGCTACCTCTTCTTACATCGACTCAATAGTATATTGTTAACAGTATATTAACAGTATACTGTTAATTGTATACTAGTAACAATATTTTTTTTATTTATTAGATTAATAATATATTATTTTGATTTTAATACTGTTAATTTTTATTTATTTGAAATTATTGTTATTGTTTTAAATTTTGAGTTTTTTTTGTTAATGTGATATTGTAAGATTTTTTAAATTTAATATCATATTTTTATTTAAATAATTATATTTATTAATTATATTATATATTTTTATATTTTAGCATCTCGCTTCGCTTGAGCAAGCGCTTAGCGCCTCGGGCATTTTTGGATCTTGGCGCCTAGCGCTTTTTAAATCACTGAGAGGTGATATTGTACTATCATGACTAGTAGGTAGACGAATGCGGGGTTGTATCACCCAATTGAGAGAAAGTGATCGAAGAAGGGTTGAGGGAGAGAGCTAAGAGAGTGAGAGGTACCTACGATGGAAGGAGGGAGGTACTGTTGCATGTTGTCAATTGCGAGAGGGGAGGCACAGCCATGTTGGTTGTTGATCATCGTTTTGGTTATCCATTGTTGTCAACATTGTCATGTGTTGTTGATCACCAAAGGATAACAATTGCAAGATGACTAGGGTTGCTAATAGAGGTGTTGTGCGGGCTCCAGGGCAGAGGTGATATGGTTTCAAGCACATGCCATGTATGCGCCTAGGTGCATGTCAAAGTGACACTTGTGCAAAATCTCTCGCCTAGGATGAATTAAAGGCGCTTGAGCCTTGCGGCTTAGGGTAGGACACAAGCACCGAGTGTTAATGTTATAATTGGTTTTAGATCATTTCAATACTTTTCTCACATGGTCCAAAGTTGAAGCCTCCAACTTATTATACGATAGGAGCTAGTTTAGACCAATGATTTAAAAAGGCGCTCGGGCACTTGCCTAAGCGCTCGCCCGAGCCCAGGCACCAGGCGCTTCGAGCGAGTGCCTAGTATAAACCAGGGGACCGACCGTAGCAGCGGCAGCGAGCTCCCGATTAGTTGGTTCGATTGAACCAACTAACACACGCATATCAGCCTCCCACTCCTCGCAACTTCCCCTAACCGTACACTCGATTCCGTTGCCTCTACTGTCGCTGTCGTTGCCTCTCTCCGCTACCGCTACTGCTGTTGCTCTTCGTTGCCGCTGCCATTGCTCTTCACTATCGCTGCCACTATAGCTATCTCTCTCCGCTATCGCTGCCTCTCTCCGTTGCCGTTGCCACTGTCGCTGCTCTCCGCTGTTGTTGTCGGTATTCTTCGTTATTGCTCGCTGTCGTTGCCGTTACTCTTTGCTACCGCTCGTTGTCGTTGCTCTCAGACAATAGCTTCCTGTCTGCGACTCAGTTCTCACCGTGACTCGGCTTCTTACCTCGGTCTCCTTCTCACACTCTACTCTTCTCTACTACCGTTAACAGTAGAGAATATTTTAAAATATTAAAATATATTTTAATATTTTAGAGCATCTTGCTTCGCTCAGGCGAGCGCATAGCGCCTCGGGCATTTTGGGTCATTGACGTCTTTTGGCGCCTAGCACTTTTTAAATCATTGGTTTGGACAAAAGAGAAAAATTAGAAACAAACTAGCTTATGATAAGTATGACTTTAAAGAGAGAGAGGAGGACAACGGAAAGAGAAGATGAAAGGGAGAACAAAAAATTCAAATAATGATTAGTCCATGTTTTGTCCCACTTTTGAAGGGTCTACTATGTCAGCTACTTGAAACTGAATAAAATCTGTAAATAGGAAAATAGTTGCCACTAAGATAAGCCATAATTTATTCTTAATTTACTATAAACATGATGATACTGCAATAGAGACAATTGGATCTTTAAAGCAAATCCTATGCTCCTTCAGCCTCTTCTAGTAGATCATTAGCTGCACCCTTTGACAAATAAAGGAAACCAAATGAAATATGTTTAAGCAAAAATCAAAGTTTTGAGGGTGCGCATGCTGGCCAATGGGTTCGCAAGCACATAAGGCTAGCAGGCCCATCATACTTGAGCGCTTGTGTTGGTCGACAACCCAATTGAGGTGCTAGCCTTGGTGGTGTCTTGTTAAGTTGCCTCACTCTGGATAGTTGCAATGGATTCCATGATGTTGCTGATGATAATGGCAGTCCAAGGCTCTGAGCAATGAGCTCGCTCCTATGTGCCATGTCTTGGTGCTGTTTTTGTCAATATTAAAAACCATAGTATACATTCAATATATTATAGTGAAATTTGGTTGAGTACACAAGAAACTAGCGAAGATTCAACTCTCCAAGCTTGATTTGATAAAAGGCGAACAAGTGGGTGAATTGATGGAGAGATAGAGAGTGAAGTGTGGGTCATTGTGAGAGTAGAAATAGGATAGAGAAGGGGGTTCTTTTATCGGAAAATAAGTGGGATGGGTTGGGAATTGAGCAATAAGTGTACTATGAGCTTCGACTAACTTACTACTCCAAAGTCGGGTGGTACCTTGGTTGGCTATTGTAGTAAAGTGATACGTCCTTTACGATTAAGGTGTGTTTGCATGTTGGTTTGGCCTGAGACTGTTTACAGCTAGTTTGTTCCGGCATGTACGAATGGTTTTTGAAACCATCAAATTGACTATTCATTAATTATATTGATGTTATAAAAGATCTATGATGATTACTCATTTATCATGTACAAGATAGGCTTCCATAGTCTATGTTCTTTTTAAATATGGTTTTGGTCGATGAGAGTTTATTTGTGATTAGTGACGGAGATATGTTATAAATTGTTGATTATCAATTAAGTAGGATTAACATTAAATATAAAAAAAATTGATTTTAGTGGAACTGAAAGTGTAATTAAGATGGGTGAACAAGTTTCTTTCAAAAGAAGTTTTAGATATTTTGGATCTTTTAATCAATAGGAAATGAAGACATTATTCATATAGTAAAAGCACATTGGTTGAAGTGAAGGGATGTTTAGTTGATGCAACTTGATCTAAGGAAGGATAGCAAATATATGGGAGCGAAGAGATAATGAGAAGTTTATGTCATTAAGAAGGCATGTGCTTGCCTCATGCCTAGGCCCAATAGAGCTTTGCACCTCAAATACACATTACGCTTACAGGCCATCCACAAGAAATTGCATTGTGTAATACATAAATAAGGTGTGTGTTTGCCTCGTGCATAGGCCCAATAGGCCTTTGCACCTCAATATGCATTAAGCTTTCATAACTTTGTTTTGAATTGAAGGTGTGCCTTGGTACAACAGAAATGTTGCTCCTTTGTGACTTGGTGATCAAGATTCAAGTCATGAAAACAATGTCTCTACTCGTGGAGAATAAAACTATGATAGTGACCCTCCTTGAATCCACATTGGTGGGAATCTCAATCACTAGATTCTCTATTTTTAACTTCGCTTTGAACAATCTTTGTTTTGTGGATGGCAGTCTGGTACTTGGGTTTTTTAGATTTATATTTTTATGAAGTTGATTTAATTGCATTAGAAATTGTCACGCTGATTATAATTATTTCTTATTATAGTCTCAGATTTTTTTGCTGATACTATTTCTTGTCGTATCTTTTTCAGGATAGAAGCAAATGGTTCAAGGGACTTGTGAGTGGCCTTTGGCTTCCACTGTCACTCTCTTTTACTTGACCACTTCATAAGTTGTTCTTGTTTTTTCTTTTTATATTTTTAAGTGAGATTGTCCACTCATTCATTTTTTTTTGTTTGTACATTGAATGTGATGCATACTGCCTTGGTCGTTGTTTTTTCATTGTGTATATGGTTCCAAAAAATCAGTGATATTGTGCCTTCTAATTTGAGATGACTTATATGCTTCCTGCATCAAGCATTATAGTTTTGGTATCATAAGTGGAACTTTCAGGAGAGTATACTAATTTAAAGTCCATATATAGTGCCAGTTCTTATACATAACCCGTGCTATGCTACTATGATCATTTTTTAAAATAATTTAGATGTCTAAATTCAATCCTCATTCACATGAAACATTGCCCACAATCTCACTTCGATAGTGCACAATGCAATGTCCATATGTGACTTTCTCAAAGTACTGAGATATTTGGAGATAATTAGTGCAATTCTATCGAAGGTTTGTCATCTCGTACCAACCAGGTGTATCGGTCCATGGCCGGACTGGTATGTACCATTACCTGTATGTACCAGTACATTGGTATATATTGAAGAGTCTAAGAAGAGGAAGGAACAAGTGACAGTGGAGGAAGAGGCGGAAGGAGGCAGTGGAGGAAGAAGAGGAGGAAGAGAAAGGAAGAAGAGGTGGTGCTGCAGCAGTGGAAGAGGAGGTGCTGTCGCAGTTGCGGAAGAGGGGGAAGAGGAGGGAAGAAGAGGAGGAGGTGGTGGAGGAAGAGGAAGGTGAGGAAGAAAGAATAGGAAGAGAAAGAGGAGGAAACAGACCTGAAATTGATGGTGGGCAATGGGCCGTTGCAGCGGCTTGCAGATGCATGTACGAGGAAGAGCTTACGATTGTGAGCGCTTGTGAAATATAAATTTTTTATTGGTCGTATTGGACCATCCAAAATGAGGCGGTCCACGTACTGGTTCACCCCTGGACTGGTACTTTTGGTCAGTTCGTGTATTGGTATCTGCATGGACTGATACATATGCATCGTATCAGTCCGCATGAAACTGCAATCCATGCTTGTACCACAAATGAGCATAATTGTATTGGTAATCTCATTTTCTACTAATTAGAATCAATCTTCTTCTTTACCTTTTCTTTATGATACTTGATTCTACTTCAAGGAATGCGCATGCTTCGTGGTGTGTTGCACATTTCAGATGCAATGTAAACTGTTCCAATTTTAACCATGTTAAACAAGAAAAAATTGAAATGATCGAATAACAATACTGTGTGATATGATTCATGCATCTGATTGTGCTATATGTCGTGCATTGGATAATGTAGAAAAGGCTATTACGGTAACTCGCCACACTATTATATACCAGTCTGATGGGATGCAGTTGACCTGTTTCAATTTGACAAAACTATTTGTTCTATGCCAGCATGTGCTTTGCACAGATAATACAACACTTTAAATCTTGTCATTTTGTTATGTTTATTAAATAACTTAATTGTTTTTTATTTAAAAATCTTTCAGCCTTGGGAGGAAAGAATGCAAAAAGCTGATGAGCAAGGAACTCTTGTCTTTATTGAGAATTTGGACCCATTGTTTACATCATCAGAAGTAGAGGTATTTGTGATGCTTTGTTTATCTTTGTCTTCATTAATCTTGTGATGAAATTTTGCCGAGTTGCCTTTTTGCTATTTGAGTTGTCATCGTCAGGTCTTCTATAAAACAACATGCACAATAGCTCCAATGGTGAACCAATTTGATATAGGATTGGCCTTCGTGAATTAGTTTCAATTTGCATTTGTCAAAATGTGTAGAAAAGATAATGCAGCCATTAACAACATTTACATCGTTGTATGGACAGTCTCAGGATTAGACAAAAGTTAAGATAGGGCTTTGAAATCAATTTCAGGAATATACTGTCCCATGTCATGAGCTGATTTGAGACTTTGAGGCAAGCAGCCACATCTGTGAGGAATTGGTATGCTATCGTCGAACGTATTATTGCTGAAGCCTTTCTACATGTTGTAAGAAACTTACATAAGATTGAGTTTAAAAAGTTGATTGGATGTGTGGAAGAAATTGTCAAGATCTTAAACAAAAGATACAACTAATGACTAAGTTGCTAATGATGTGAAGAGCTATCACTCTATAAAGCAAATACTAATTGGGAAATAGTGAATGTGACATTCTAATTTACACGTATCATATATATGGCTTGTATTTGTTGTAAAAGGCTGATGCAGGAAACGGAGGCGCCTTCATATGTGAGGGCGAATTTATTCTTGAAGAGTTACAGATACTAGCTTGATGTTCTTCTATGAAATTTTTATGTGGAATGTAGGAGAGAAAATTTTGAGTTATAAGTTAAGGATTATTATGTGTTTAGAGTAGGTAGAGCTGATTATGTATAATTTGGTTTCTGCCCATTAACATTGGTGAGACTTCATTTAGTGGGCAGAGCACAGGCAGAATGCACCAGGAGAAAGACAAAAAAAGTTTCATTGAATCCTATAAAAAAGAGAATCTATATAGTTCACCTATTGTCACTCATATTGTCCTTCATCTGAAGGGAATCAGATGGTGAGGTTCTCAATTTTGATAGCCTGGTGGAGAGACTGGGACTTCCTTTATTTGCTTCATTTGAGGGCCTGTGGCCTTCAAAAGCTGGATGGAGCAGACTGTCTTTAACTGTCTTAATTAGGATCAGTTCAATTAAAATTTTTAATTTCCTTGTTTAACTTCCAGAATCTCTTGTTCGAGGTATCACAACCGTCGAAGCACTTCCATGCATGGTCACTTGCATGTGTTACTTTGTACTGTGGACCATTGTGGCATTCTAAGATTCTATGATAAAAGTGAAAATTTGGTGTTTAACTGGTCTACAGATAATTATTATAATTTTCTATAAGGTGTCTAGACATCAAATATGACTAAGCTACAAGACTACTAGAAGGCATTTCAAACTGCATTTGGTTATCAAATTTTGAACTAGATCATCTGATACATTGTTACCAGATGGGTTCACTTCCAATAGAACTGTTGATCATGTTGGTACATAGTGCAATGCGCATGTACATTAATATTTGAGTTTTGGTGACAGTTGAATCGGGTAGATGCTGATAGTACTTACATATTTTACTATTATTTTGTTTTGTGTATAGGATATTATTTACCACACATTGAAGCAAAGTTGCACCGCAAGGGTTATACAACAAACTTTGTTTCAAAATCCCAATTATGGTATGTGATCCTTTGATGTGCAAAATTATATGATCCTGTGAAAAAGAAAAGGAAACTCTTTTTATATCCTATACACAGCACTAAGCTTCTTATCAATGTCTGATTGTTGATACTAGGTCAAGCTTATGTTATATTTAAAACAAGAGATGCAGCAGACTCTGCAGTTTCGAAGATTAATAAAGGGTGCATTCAGCTACCTAATGGAAGGTATTACTTTTCATTTTCTAATTTATGATGATCAGGAAGCATGGTTTTATGTTGTCAGTTAGTTTTGTTGCTGCATTTACTTGCATACTTTTTAATATCTAAGATACCCCTACCTTATTTCAACTACTAATTACACTTGTTCTTGATGTGTGTTTTTCTTCAAAATCTTGTTACTTCATGTCAAATTTTTTGCACTAGTTCAGATTCTTATTTAGTCTGTATCTTAGTCAGGGTGATGGGGCTTTGATAAAAAATAGCTTTTATACATTGAATTACTTTATGTTCTTCTATCTGTTGCAATTATAAGAATGCCAAACAATTATAGTTATATCTAGAGTAGTTATTTAACTAAAGATGGGAAGCATAAGGATCCCACCTATGCAAACTCTAGGGAAAATCAATTCATGCAGCCTTACCCTAGCAAACAGAGATACTAACTTTGCAGTTCAAATCTTGGTGACCTAGATGACAAACCAAGACTAACCCTCTTGTGACAATTTTACTGCAAATAATTATCGATAGTGTATCTTGAGGGAGTGGATATATGTAGTAAAATATTTTGCCTTCATATTCTATATTTAGCTGATCTTGGGATAAAAGGAACTTGATATAATAATGCAAGTAATTATCAGTGATTTAAATAGGTGCTCGGGCGAGGCAAGGCCTGAGCACCTCGTGTGTGGATTAGGCGGTATGCTTCAATGAGGCGACGCTTGGGTGCACGCCCAAACCCATGCGCTGGGCACTTCGGGCAAGTGCTCGTTTTAATTAAGCGAATCGAACCAGACTTTTAAATCTAGTTTGGTTCAATAACGTAGTTTCTTACCTCAAATGCCACCTTTTACGCCCATGCGACCTCGAGGAAGCCTAGCGTTGCTTTTGCCGCCGCCGTCAACGCCGCTGCAGACATAGTGGACCGAGCCTTCTTCTATCGTCGACGGACGAGTCCGATGGCCCTAGTAGCTTCCTTTTGCTATCGTTTCGTGTGTAGTTCCTTCCGTTGTCAAGGGAGTGGACCGTAGGTTCCTTTGCCACCGATAGGCCCCCTCTGGATCTTCCGTCGTTGCCGCTGTTGTTATCCGTAGCTTTTGTTGATGCTGTCCGCAGCTTCTGCTGTTGCTGTTGTTGCTATTCATAGCTTTCGCCGCTATCATTACTACTGTCCGCAGCTTCTGTTGCTACCGCTACTGTTGTTCGTAGCACTGTCACAACAATCTTAAACTAATCCTTTGTTACTGTTAACATTTTTTCTCCCCTCTAACTACTCTGTTAACAGTAAGTAATATACTGTTAACAATGTATTTTTGATTTAATATCTTATTTTATTTAAATAATTATTATATTATATTATATTATATATTATATTATATTTTAATATTTCAAAGTGTCTCGTTTCGCTTGGGCAAGCACCTATCACCTTGGGTGTTTTTGGACCTTGACGCCTAGCGTTTTTTAAATAATTGGTAATTATCATGACGTAATCATCCTTCAACATGTTTATATGTGATGCTCTGATTTGAGAGGTAGCCTTTGTACATAATTTCTCAAATAAAAGTTGCTAATGACTTAACAAACTCATTTTTTTCTATAATTTAAGACAGGAGAATACAACTACTATTATCTACTTATGTATGAATTGACTGGAAATTGAAGTGATTATTTTCGAATGCAATTTTTTTTTGGGACAATCTATCATCTTCATTGTTGTAAGTTTATTTTCCAGTAAACAAGGGGGTTTGAACCTATTGATATTCGATTGGATATGGTTGGTTGACTCGACTGCGTAAGCAAAAGTACTTTAACCATAATGGTTAGCATATTATAACTTTTGTAGGGTTTTACATTTTGCCTTCCCAGAATCCCTTGGTCTTCTGAATATGTTTTGTCTTCTTACATTTTGTATGTTGAGTGTCATCCACTTGTGGTTCTTATTAATTGTTAATTTTGAAATGGTTGGAATTGGATGTATACAGTGATTTAAAAAGCGCTAGGCACCAAAAGGCGCCAAGGTCCAAAAATGCCCGAGGCGCTAGGCGCTCGTCCAAGCGAAGTGAGGCACTAAAATATAAAAATATATAATATAATTAATAAATATAATTATTTAAATAAAAATATGATATTAAATTAAAAATTTACAAAATCATAATATCACATTAACAAAAAAAATCTCGAAATTCAAAACAATAACAATAATTTTAAATAAATAAAAATTAGTAGTATTAAAATCAAAATAATATATTATTAATCTAATAAATAAAAAATATTGTTACTAATATACAGTTAACAGTATACTGTTAATATACTGTTAACAGTATACTATCGAGTCGATGTGAGATGAGGTAGCAGCGGGAGCGGGAGTGGGAGAGGCGAGCGGCAATAGTGGCAGCGGCAACGGGAGCGAGAGCGGCGCGCAACGACAGTGGTAGTGAGCAGCGGGAGCAGCGGGAGAGACGAGCGGTGATAGTGGCACCGACAGCGGGAGCGGCAAGAGACGATAGTGGCAGCGGTAGTAGCGAGCAACTGCAGCAGCAGTAGTAGCAACGACATCGGCAGCGGCGACAGTGGTAGCGACAAGCAGGGTTAGGGTTGGGGAAGTCGCAAGAGGGATGTTGGAAGGCTGATGTTGGTGCTTTAGTTGGTTCAATCGAACCAACTGAAGCACCGGAGACCGAACCAAACGTAAAACACTGGTTTGGTCGCTTGGTTTAACCGGGGCGCTCGCCCGAAGCGCCCGGCGCGTGGGCTCTAGTGAGCGCCTAGGCGGTGCCTCTTTGAAGCGAGGCGCTCGGGCCTCGCCTCGCCTCGCCCGAGCACGTATTGAAATCGTTGGATGTATATGTTTTGTCATGTGTGCCACTTGGTATAGGAATACGTGGGGATAAAAAAAAAAAGAGAAAACCATAGAAAGTTGAAGGTAAAATACTAAAATGATTAGAAAAGTTTGACTTTTGAGTATCAAATTTTAAATTATAGTAGCTTTAAAGAATGTTGAAGTGATCTGATATTGGGTTTGCATCTTAAATAAATTGATCTCCTTTGGATGTTGATGTGGTTATGTTCTCAGAGTTGACCGTTTTGGTCTCTTGTAGTCCCCTTATCTGCAGCAAAGGAATGTTGAAGGTGCCTAAATCATCTATGTTTGGTCATTTGTCAGTTGATAAAAATAAGCTTCAAATGCGAGAGATGGTAATTATACTGCACTTTCTAGTTTGATTTATTTATTTTTCCCTTAAAAAATTAACTTCAATTGACTTCACTCTTTTGTTTCAGAGAAGGGCCGTGTCAACATCACATTGTTCTCAACCTAACACAATTGAGTACGAGATGGCTATGGATTGGCTTGTCATACAAGAAAGATCAGTTAGGTGCTTAAATGCGTTGCACAAGGTATTGTCATCCGAGAGTTCTTTTTTAGAACTGAAATGACTCAACTGCTTTATGCTCCATTTTATCTAGTATCTAGATAAGTTTCCATCACTTGCAGGGGCAAGCTGATGAGTTGAAGGCAATCAAGAAGCGATTGAGAACAAAGTGAAGCAGCTATTGGATCTTTGATCATCCTCATCATCTATGCTGATTTACCTTTCAGCCAGGTTTGATTATTATATTGACATTATATTTTATTGTTTTGCCTAAATAAATCATAGAGATCTTACATCATTGATCTCAATAGTGGTATTCTTCTAAATTTTGAAGGGAAGCAAAGGCTTTGGCAATTGATGTTTGACACTCGAGACTTTTTTATTCAGGAGTAGAGCCTGACACAATTTTGCCGAGTCATTGCTTTCTCATCAACTCGTTGGAGGATGGGCTTGGCAAGATTCTTAACCTGAGATTAACATCCTGTATATTGCCGTGTAGTATACAGCCTTTTAATTTTCCCATGTATATTTAAATGTTTTCCAACTCTGTCCATAATTGCTAACAGTTGGCATCGTTATCAGATTGCATAAGCTAACAACGGTGGAACCATTCATGAAATTGCGTAAATTAACAAATTTGCTCATAACATAAAGCCTTTTATAATTAGCATTATTGTCAAAGTATCTTTGTTTCCTGCTACTTTACGAGTGCACTATCTAATTGTATATGCATTTACTGCAAATCACTTGGAGATCACTCGCTTGCCAGTAAATGATTACCTTCCATGGAACCTAATGCATAAAGTTGTTCAATGATGTTCTGTATCGTATGACTTGAGACACCCCAAAAGGAGAATCTTGTTCGGCGATCAATAATAGTTAGGTCAAAGCTTGAGGTAGATCCTTTAGTCACTGTGTTACTAAATGGTGCAAAATTCCTAGATCTGCTTGCGTTATGGATACTAATCCCCAACTATTCTTCCAGTAATTTGTGAGAGGTCGGTCGGATGAGATAGGATAAGAATATTCCTTGCAACCCAACATTGGTGCGCGAAGTATTTTTAGATTAAGATGGTGGGATCAGGTGGATATCAACCTAACGCTTGGTCAATAATGGGTGGGATGTGGTCCGTGTCTCGTCATTCCAATATCTCGTGGTTGGAATTGGCATCATCACCAAATAGGTGTACCACAACAATCGGCCACTTTGTACTGCAATAGCAGTAACAACAAACCCTGTACTCCATGAACTCGTCCCACTTCTCTCATCTTGACCGTCCCCTCGACCATGATCACCATCCACCGTCCATCTACCGTGTACGCAAATCTTGAAGCTCCTTCGCAAAGACGTCGGAAAAGGGGGCCGCGCATAAAAAATGTTGGTACACACTACCGCGTACTACGGTCCTTTGGTTTACTTTCGGAATTGCCATGGACATTGATAGATATTTACACACTCATCCTCACCCAAATTGCTCTTTCCGTTCACCCCACCTTTTTCTTCTCCTCTATATACTCGGAAGGGCTGCTGTCTTCTCCGGCCGGAGTTGTAGACTTGCCTCGCTGCAATCTTGACTTGTCCTCTGCGTCCATGGCCGAGGTATGGTATTTGATCTTTCTTTCCTTTCTGGGTTCTGAATCGGTTGATTCAGTTTCTTCCCTATGTTCTGGGTAGTAATTCTTGTCCCCGAGTTCGATCTGTTGCGAACCAGAACATACGCTTCAAAGTGTTAGTTTGTGAGATGATAAGGTCGATCGTCACGATTCTATTAGGTTATATTGTTTTCCCCTTTTCCAACTTATGCAATCCTCGATGCTGTAAGAGATCAACTTATTATTATTATTATTATCCGTCCGATTTGACTAATTATCTTACTATTCCCCGTCAGAAAAACACGATGATTATATTTGGTTTCAAAATTAAAATTAATCACCAGTACTACGAACTCCTGTGTTTGATCGAAGAAGGAGACTTCGGTTAACATGTAACATGAATAAAGTGCGGAAAATGGGGCCATTGCGCTACTTGCATACGAGGGAAATTTTGAAGACATTTAGATGCATGTTCCCCGTTACTTGAGATTTCCCCCATAGCTGTTAATATGTTTTCTGAAGTAATACAAGTTGGCTTTGATGGGTGATGATTGATTCCCATAGAAAGGTAGGTAAAATTTGTTAGTCATTCATGTGTACCATTCATCGATTATTCAGACTAGGGTTGCTTGTTATCTCAAGGACCTGTGTAGTTTTCCTTTTATGCACTTAGCTTTAAAATTAAGATGAGTAGCGACAATGATTAGGTAGAGTTTTGTGGGTTGAATAATTCATGGAATATATACTACCTCATAAAATTTCAGAGCTCATAGGATGAAACTGGTGCTAAATGTAAAAAATGCTTTAGCATATGCATATACTGAAAACACACAACAAATGGTTATACTTGTGCTTGGCTATAGGTATTACAAATCTTATATGTTAGGACAATACTCCTAGTCAATTAAGCACTTGGTGCTACTTGATTAATTTAGGAGTCCTATTAGCTATATTAGTGAACACTCTATATCATATTCTTCGTGGCCTAAGTTTTTAATCAGCTGGGCCTTTGCTTCCAAAGAGGACCATTTAAAATAATAGTTTGGAAAACTGAGTTGAGACCTTCGTATTTGACCTCAAAATGAGAAATGGAAACCTGACTGGTCTGGTTTTGTCGTTGGATCATATTAGCAGTTTACCTGGATAGGACCAGCAGACCCAACTGATTTTTTTTTCTCATCGGTCTAGATCATACAAATGCATAGTGACCGAATGACCCTAGTCTTAGCCATGTCAGTCACTAGTTCGATTATGATAATTGTGTTTAGAAGTTTCAATCTAAGGTTTGGTAGCGTATCACTGTACCAGATGTTGGACTATTTCTAATTTCACAAATATTTGTCAACGCAAGACCTGAAACTCCAAAATTTTGAAAATTTGAATTTGTTGTGTGCAGTTTTTAACTTTAGCCATGATAACCCGTTTCTTAGGAAATTATTTTGGCAAATACAAAATTTTATGCAACATTTTACACACTTTTTACTTGCTTTTCAGTACCATCCTCCTGTTTGTAGTTCTTGAAAAGCTGAAGAATATTGCCCCGTTGTGATAAGAAAATTTGCCATTTAAACGAAAATTTTGGTTGCAACTATCTGTTCAAATATTGCACAGCATGCATATCTGTTTGTCACATTGGTATGTCTTACTACACTGTTTGGTTTCACATTGATATTTCCTTACTATACCATTTGGTCTCACATTGGTATTTCATACTACACACTTGGGTCTCACATTGATATTACTGACTACACCATTTAGAGTCAGTAATCGTTCTATCTACACCATTTTGATTCACATTGCTATGTTTTTACCACACTGTTTGGTCTCACATTGATATTATTTTACTATACTGTTTGGTCTCTGACTCATTCATTTTCTCCTTTGAACTTGAATTATATTTTTCCATAAAATCTGGACTCCCAATTTCTTAGGCACAATACTGTTGTGACTGTATGATGCTATGTTGGCGAGCTATTATTTTAATTCAGATTAATCCTTGTAATTTGGTCTGTGATGTCCAATACTGAGAAATTCTTGTGGTTTTCTGTTTTCACAGACTGTTGTCCTCAAGGTTGGTATGTCATGTCAAGGTTGCGTTGGAGCTGTTAAGAGGGTTCTCACCAAAATGGAAGGTTGCTTAATGTTTTTTCGCTCTCTTTTATCCCGGTGCTATTTCTTGATCTTTGAATCTCTTCGTGCTCATGATTTTTATTTATGGTAAACTATAATGCATGATGTTCATTACCGTATAACAAGTTTTCTGGCAACTAGTGCTGCCATGATTTAGATTATTATAGTTCACAAACGTTAAATTTCCTGTTGGCAAGATCTTCATTTTTCTTCAACAAATATCTAAACAACAAATATTTCTGGTTGATATGAGCAACCAGAAAGAATACTTTAACCAGCTTGATGTGTGCATCTTTTGTTTGTATTTTCAGGTGTCGAGTCCTTCGATGTGGATCTGAAAGAGCAGAAAGTGACAGTTAAAGGCAATGTAAAACCCGAAGACGTTTTTCAAACTGTTTCAAAAACAGGCAAGAAGACTTCCTTTTGGGAGGCTGAACCTGAAGCCAAGGAAGCTGCTCCAGCTACTCCTACCAAGGAAGATGCTCCATCTGCTCCTACCGAGGAAGATGCTCCATCTGCTCCTGATGCTGCCGCCGATGTTACTACTGCAGCATGATGCCTCTATCTGTAAATCTTGTCGGACGCATTTGATGAATAAGTCGGATCTCATGTCATTTGATCTGAAAGTATATTATGTTGCTGATCTTGATTCCTGATACTGGTTCTGTCCATCAGATAGTATCTCATCTGATAAATTGTGATTTATCCTTTCCAATGGACTCATCTTAAACCCTGGGATTAGATGATTAAAGACAATTTTAGGAAGTTGCTTTTATCTAATGTGTAGTTTGTGTTGGTGTTTGTTAATTTCCTTATTTGATGGCTTCGATTCTATACAGTTTGATTAAACTAGTTATTTATTGAACGACCTGCGTTTGCAACTTGAAGGGCTCATTCGCACTGGAATTTGTTTCTTGAGGTAATCCTATTCTTGAGCTCGAGTTGAGACTCTACGCGGGTTAGGAATACGGTTCCAATGTCGTTCAAATCCAAATGATGCTCTTGTCGAGCTTGAGTCGGATCAATTCTACGCGGGTTGGAATGGCGAATCCGGACCCGTTCTCCGGATCAGTCTTTGCCAACCGCAAGATCAACCTCCCGATAGGCAACCGACGGTCCTGATGACATCTCATGCGACTGCGGGGTGCTTTCCACGGGTCAATGTAAACCCCGTCTCCAGCCTCTCCTCCCACACCCTTGCTAAACCAACCCTACAAGTGGCGCCATTTCCTCGTCTCAGCGGCGGATCTCGCGGCCTTCCCAGGTAATGACTCTCCCAGTTCTTTGATCTCAATTTCTCTTGCTCTCTGCCTTTTTCTTCGTTGGTTTTCCATGCTTTACAGCTCGCCCGTTCCTTTCTCTATTTCGTGATGTTGTTGCTACTGGTGTTTTTGTGTGCACGATAATAACTATGTTCATATCCCGAGTGTTGCAATCTGTGTAACCTTGTTCGGACCAGCGGCCGCCTGGCATGAACGAATACTGAAAGCTGAAGTCATGCTTCGGACTTTCGTTACAACGACCGATGCATAGCTTCTTTCCGGGAGGAATATGATGAGGATAATAATGGCGATAAGACTCGGGTTGACGTCAGTTGCCTCTGATGACGCCTCAGTCGACCCGACAGCACCCGACAGCACCTCAATCGACCCGACAGCACCCGACAGCACCTGATCAAACGGACTAGAACGTCACATTAACGTCCTGCTCAGGCCCAATCTTTCACGCCACGCCAACATCGCTGTCAGACGTGGTCGGGAGTACGATCCTGCTCCCTGCAAAACAGGCATATCAGACACAATAAGTCACCCTATAAAAACCCCGCTCCTGAGAGGAGAGTGGGGGGGCCGAACACACACAAAAATACCTCTTCACATCATCTAATTGGATCGTCGGAGGGGTCAGGCCGAGCTTCGACCCGACCTGTGTGCAGGTACGAAGACGGAGTTACTTCCCCATCAACGCCGAGGAGAGGGACTCTTCCACGCGGGACGTCCCAACGAGCCTCGACGTGATCCGATCTGCACGGCCGCCCACATCAGCAACCCCGAGAGACCTTGAGCCAGATCCCCGTCATTCGAACCCGAAACAAACCGTGTCGGCCCCGAGGCCACTGCATAAAGTTGTTTACACGAACAGTTTCCTATTTCACCACTTGCATTATGTACTTGAGGGTTATTTTCTATAAAATGTGTTATGCCCCGCGGAAAAGTAGACTGTCAATCTCAAACCTTTTCGGTGATTATATTTTTTCGTTTTATGCAAATTGATCAACTTCATAGAAATTGTATTAAATCTCATTGGTTTATGCTCTGTTGTGTTTGAGGCAGTGAGTGTTGCCCCAAATGTGGTATTGAGAAGTAACACGGTGTATATATTGTGCAGTTGTAGATGACATTAGGTTCCCTGCAATTATACCAATCATGAGCATGCAGGGATGAATAATGATAGCACTTTCTTATTCTGATTTACTTTCTCTCGAATCTTCTAAATTAGTTTGATTTGTTTTAATGCTATCTGATAGTTATTTTTTCCCTATTATCTTTCACTAATATGATCTTTTCTTCCTCTAACCTCAATTATATTTCTACAGAGATTTGACATCAAAGCTTGTCCTACTACACCAATTGCATTCCTGATATAAGGTACTCAAGATTCCCAAATATCTCAACTCTACTTTACTATCTAAGGCTTATTCAAGGAGTTTTGCCACTATAATAATAATAATAATAATCACATCAGCTTACCATCTATCCACGGGCTGGGCGTCATTCCAGGGGAATCTACTTTTAGCTACTTGCAGGCTGGGATATATTCTAATGCCCTCCTATCTAATAAGAAGCTAATCGATGCTGTCAGTCAACCTCTGTTGTGATGACTGAGCCATCACCCATTGATGCATGTGATCTTGTCATCAGCTCCCTGTAGTTGACCTTGACATCAGTTTGAAGGAAACTATGCATCCACAAGAATTCTCTGAAAAGGATGTTGAATCGAGTAATATATTACGAAATGGATTTAATTTTATTCGTTAAGAAGATGAGTATTTATATTGGTTTTGAGGAATAATTTTTTTTTGTCATGCACTCAAATCAAATCATCTATTCGAATTTATGATTTATCTTTAAATACTGGATTTTTATATATCTTTCTATCATGATCTTCTAAAGATTGAGTTCTTGACAATGTGTTTAATACGTAAGTGGAATACTGGATTGGTACCGAGGAAGATGACAGTCAGATGTTATGATTTGGTTGAAGTCCATCGGCTTGATTTCTAGAGCATTGCGAGTAGCGGGAGGATCGTCGCAATGCGATATTGTAAACCTCCAAGGACGAGAGGAGGCAACGGTTGCTCGGCCTTAATGATCGAGCGCTGGAGAACTCGGCGGAGATCGTCCCATGATTGGAGCATGAGAGGATGGTAGTAGTAGCAGCAATAGGTCGGCCCAATGAGTAGGCCCCCAAATGAGTAGCACCAATGGGAGGCTGGTGTCGTGTCGCAACGATTCACCGGTGAGGAAGAACAAAGAGGGCTTCATCGGTGAGGAAGAACAACTTTGCTGGCAAAGAGTGCTTGGGGCAGAGAGCGCTTAGTGAAGAAAATATGTTGGATGGCAGAGTGCGCTCTGCAACCAGGTTTGGCGAGGTAGAGCTCCACGAGATCTAGGGGTAGGGAATGCCACCGGAGGAGGAGCAAGAGATGGAGTGCTTGGCCTACTGCTGTACAACCGTTGAGAGGAGGCGGTGGGCTCAGCGAGCCTCCGGCTGTCTGCAAGCTAGCGGGCGACTGCGAGCAACGATGGGAGCCGGGCAGTGAAACCCACGTGAGCGGATGGCGGCTAGCATGCCCTGTGGTGAGTTGGAAGGGGGAGCACTCGCTGCTGTGAGGTGTAAGGGGGAGTGCTCCTTGGCCGGAGCAGTGGGCTCCTCGGCTGGAGCAACGATGGATGCCAAGGGTGAGACGAGCGCTTGGTGCAAAGATGAGTGCTTGGTAATAGAGCGCTCGGGGTAGAGATGAAATTAGCAATGACAGAGAAATCTTGCTGTCGTCGATCGATCATCGGTAGATGAGAGATTGTTGTCGCTAGACAGCGAAGAAAAAAAAAAGGTTTTGCTAATGTCAGCAGATCAGTGAGAGAAGAGGCGAATGCTCAGCTCGCTTGAAGAAGCAGGCGGCGAGGTTCCATGTAGTGGGAGAGGAGGGATTGTTGTCATTGGACAACAAGGTTGACGATCGACGAAGATTGCATGGCAAAGCGAAAACAAGGTAGGCGGGGGATAACCGTGGCACGAGAGGAGGGAGGAAGGTCAGAATGGCGACGACCACGGAGAGGGTCGAGGAAGTGGTAGTAGATCAGCAGATGCTGTCATCGGCATACCAGTGTCGGACAACGAAGATAAGGAATTCTTACTCGAGGTAAAAGAGCTCTGATGTCATATTGAATTGATGAATATACTACGAGACTTAATTTTATTCATTGAGAAGATGAATATTTATACAGGGTTTTGAATAAGAGATTTTTCTCAATCATGCATTTAATCAAATCAGTTATTCAAATATATAATTTATCCTTAAATATTATATTTTATATCTCTCTATCAACCTTTGATAAGGTGACATGCGCTGGAATCCAATTCCCTAACGGCGGTGCAAAACGAGAGTTCTTTTCTTCTCGACGAGGAACACAGCATCTGGCTCTTGGAATGATCACACGTCGAGGAGCTGAAATATTATGATTGCCGGAGGCCATTGGGAGAGAGCAGAAAAGGCCACTGTGGGGAGCAGCAAGAGACGAGCACGCCGACGTTGATGACGTGGGACCCGTTCGACCGTGTTCGACGCAGATCGACGCAGAAGGCCCCACGGCGGGCGGTCGTGTCGGATGCCGATCCTTCCATCTCCATCGCCACACTGAGACAGCACTCCGCTCAGACCCCAGAAATGAAGCTCGCCACCATAGTAGCTATCAAATTTATAACAGAAATTTCGGGATCAATAATTAGATTCATAAAATAATTATTTTTTGGATTAAGAAAAAGGCGAGCCGATCTAATTCCGTGTCTTCAAGATACATGCAATAACTCGCATGTACAATACGATGAATTGTATATGCTAATTGCTGTTTAGCTAATAAATATCTAGATGATGAAGTTTCTTGGATCCTGGTGATGCATTACAAATAAAAAAAAATAGTGAACGAGAGAACGTATAGATAAACTATCATTGTCGTCGTATCAAAAATATAAATTTTGATCCTTTACAAAATGTAAGGTTAAGATTCATTTTAGTCATTGTAATTTTGGTTATAGATTTTTTAAGTTTTTATGGTTTATTTATATCTAAAATAATCTTTATATTTTTAAAAGTACAACATAGAAGCTCCTTTTGTCAAGTCTGAGTTAACAGACATTAGAGTTTGCTTACGTGATATTTGACTCATAATAAATCATTAATATAATTATACATATAATTTAGATTAAGATCTATTTTATCCCTTGTGGTTTTAGCTATGGATTTCTTAAGTCTTTATGATTTATTCGTATTTAAAATAATCTTTATATTTTTAAAAATATATTATATAAGTCTCTTCCGTCAAGCCAGAGTTAACAAATATTAGAATTTATTTATATGATAGATTGACTCATAATAAATTATTAATATAATAATATGTATAATTTAATTTTTTTATAAAATCGAGACATTCATCAATGATGAGAGGAGGCGTTGTTGTGGAAACAACCAGCAACAATAGCATCGAGCCGCTATTGCCTAGTAAGGCATTGTATGCACGTAGCCTTTCTCGCGCTAACGACGTGCTTAGGAGCTTTCAGTCTTACAGCAGGTGGATGTGCGTCGATTAGTCTAAAGTTAGGCATGCAGTGGTTTCCTAGTCCCTCTTCCTCCTCTTGGACGTTTTCATCCCCATCGCCTTTCACTTCGTCCTCTCCTACTCCCCCACTTACCACGTCTACGACGTGGTGGTCTTGCTCTCCCTCACCTCCGCCTCTGACCTCTCATATCTTTGCCTCTCCGCCTTCGTTCGCCACTACGGCCTTTGTTGCTTTCTCTTCCTCGAAAAGTTGATTGAGGAGAAGAGCGGGTGCGGGAGGGCTACATGGTCTAGCTCAACCACTCCTTTTGTTTGCTCTTCGTCTTCGTGATGTCGTGATTCGTGGGGGAGGTGGCTTACAAGGTATTATGGTACTCGTCGAGATCGGAGCGGGTGTCGTTCACGGTGGCAGGCAGCGCCATTGTGGCATGCGCCCTGGAGTTGGCGAATGACATCCGGAAGCTCCTAAGCTTGTCGTCAACGTGAGAGAGGCTACATGTGTACAATACCTTACTAGGTAGCAATGGCCTGGTGTTGTTGTTGGTGGTCGCTTCGACGATGATGCCTCCTCCCGCCATTGATGAAATGTCTTAGTTTTTTTAAAAAAATTAAATTACACATATCGTTATATTAATAAATTATTGTGGGTCAGCGTCACATTAGTAGATTCTAACATATTTTAACTCAAATTTGATAGGAGAGGTTTATATATTATAATTTTTTAAATATAAAAATTATTTTAAACATAAGTAAATCATAAGAGCTTAAAAGATTAATGGTCAAAACCAAAGAAACTAAAATAAATTTTAATTATAAATTATACATATTATTATATTAATAATTTATTATAAATTAACATGGCACGAAAGCAACACAATTATTACTCCTCCACCAATACTCTTCTGGTTAGGAGGACGCGAGGCCGGAGAGATCTGATGGAGAGTTCTCCGGTTGGTGAGCTTTCATGGCTGATCCTGATGTGAACCCCATTTGTAGTTTGCTGAAAAGGGGAATCTCTTTTTGTGTTTACTGGAGAACTTGATTGGATATGTACAGAAATCTTATAATAATTATACTAATTATGATAAATGCTTATTGTGACTGAAAAGATGTCTCACTGCCTCAAAAGTGTTTGTTGCAGTGACATACGAAAGGCATCGAGGGAATTGACAAGAGGAAGAATATAGTGATTGACAAGAAGAGAAGTAGATGTATTAATATAAAACACTTGAAGGTTTTAGCATCGAGAAACATTTGAAAAAACGTACTTGATAAGGAAATATGATATATGGATATTCGAATGTCATAATATTATTATCAGCTTGCTTGACTCTTTATAACTCCAAAGCTCTGTCAACCTCCTCCTATATCACTCAATCACATCACTTGTTTGATATAGCACATGATAATATTAATTATAATGTTTGTTTGATAGTTTGATCAACTCTTTATGGAGTAACCTTCAATAATTCTACGCAATCATTCGTATGAATTATTCTCAATTATTTCCAACAGTTATCAAAGCCAACTATACAAAAAAAGAGAACCTCAAGCAATGTTACTTTATCTAAATCCTACTCATCTTTCTATTACTTAGCCTTGAGTATTTGAGGAATCTTTATGAGACACACTTAGGATTCCTACCTAACCAATTATTTTACGGAACCAACCTTATGTCAAATTAGGAAAAGGATTAGGATTGACTCCCAAGTTGTAACAACCTCCGAGTTAGCAGTGTCGAGAAGCGCCACGTGACATGTTATTACAACCTCCGAGTCACGTGACATGCATTGTTTAGGAACAGAGAGAGAGAGAGAGAGAGAGAGAGAGAGAGAGAGAGAGAGAGAGAGAGAGAGAGAGAGAGAGAGAGAGAAACTACTAATCTATATTTCTTATTTATATATTTATATATCTATATATATAATCTAAAAGCTTAAAGAGTGGATCAACAAAACCGGCCTCCCCCCTTCCCTACCGCCCAAACAATGCACGTCGGTGGCCACCACCCAGCAAAAAGACCCCTCGACTGGTCGAAACCCGACCCGGAACACCGACGCGTGTCGGTGGCCGGTTCCTTTGCCCTTTGACCGCTTTGACTACCACGCATCCACGTGAACACCCCAAGCCTCTGACCTACCCCTAGCGTTGACCAAAACTTTTCTAGGATGGGGTTTCATCTCAGTAGTACTCCACCGGCGTGCCCGGACAACTGTCGTCCGAGGCGTCCCGGCTTAGACCCACGAGGCTGAACGGCGGCGGCACGTACGGCGGTTGTGCGCACCGTAGCAGCGCCCAGTTCACGCCGTTGAAGAAGGGGTGGCGCTTGATCGAGGCCGCGCCCATCGTGGAGCCGAGCCGCCGCTCCGGGTCCTTCACCAGAAGTCCCGCGATGAGGTCCCTCGCCGACGCCGACACCGCCGGCTCCTTGGGGAACTCGAGCGCCCGGGCCACGATGTTGGCCAGCGTCAGCTCGTTGTCGGGGCCCTTGAAGGGCGTCACGCCGTAGAGGAGCTCGAAGACGAAGACGCCGAGGGTCCACCAGTCCACCGCGCTGCCGTGCCCCTCCCCGGAGACGATTTCCGGTGCGAGGTACTCGTGCGTCCCCACGAAGGACATGGACCGGAGGTCCACCGGCTCGGCCACGAACTCGAGGCACGGTCCGCGGCGGCCGGGCTTCTTCTTGCGCTTGCGCCTGGGCTGGTGGAAGCAGGAGACCGCAGGCACGATGCAGCTCGGGAGGATGCAGGAAGCGGCGGAGAACTCGCCTCCGCCTGCGCCGGCGGCGGATGACTGGGGCGGGAGGGGGAGCGGGTTCTGGTCGGAGACGATCTGCGCTGCGGTGGGAGTGGCGGAGTCGCACTTGAGGGAGAGGTCGAAGTCGGTGAGCATGATGTGGCCGTCGGCGCGCACGAGGACGTTCTCGGGCTTCAGGTCCCTGTACACGATGCCCATCATGTGGACGTACTCCAACGCCACCACCACCTCCGACGCGTAGAACCTGCAGAAGCCGACGCCACAACTCAACACAATCCAACACATCCTAAAACCACCACAAATCATGCATCGAATCACCTAAACTGAGATGCAGGTTGCGCATGCATGCATGCATAAATGACGCAAACAAGCTACAAAAAGCCTGTTGCTTTCTTCACGAGGGATTCCACGTGAAGCTGTTTCCGTTGCACGACTCGGCTTACTTCATAGTAGACGTGGGCAAGCGATCCCATTAACATGAAAACCATGGCCCAACAAACATGGCCAGTGGGGACTGTGCGCCTACAGCCAAGTCCGCAGGACGAGATGAAGGCTGGCATTTGGGAGGAGAGCGCTGAGGACGAGCATGTGAAGTGCTTGTTGGAGTCCGAGAGCTTTCACATGTCGCTCAGCCCACTCCGACGTCGTAGTATCCGGGAGACTCTGCACCATAGTTTAAGACAGACAGTACACAGCGTGTAATAAAGTGTGAACGTATCAAAAGAAATGGGTGGAATCACGTCAGGAAGGAGTAGGAAGCTAAGATCTCGAAGCAGATGGTGTCACACGGGCCACAGACACCGTCCCCATCCGACAGCTAATGTCGAACACATGGCTCCAAAACGAGCCCCCAACAAGCACGACTTAATTCCCACTGTTCTCTGTAGATGACAGACACACTGGCCATGCCCCCACAGGTCATGTCCCGGTGGCGGATGTAATTGATAGAACTCGCCATGGGCTGCACGACATGGAAGGAGGAGAAAGAACAGCGACGACAAGGGGGAGATGAGCTGGGTTGTGCCCTTGTTTCGGGTCGGGAATGAAGAACCGAAACCACGTACCAATTGCCTCTCATCGAAACAATTGGTTCACCGTCTTCCTCAATCTACGCTCTCGAAGAAGGTTACTTCCCGAATCCCTGGCTACAGCTTGCTTTTCTTTAAAGCTAAATCTCGAATCCCAAGATAAATTCGAATGAGAAAAAGACGAAAGCAGATAAAGGAAATTAAAAATGATAATGATAATAATAATGATTATAGCTATTATAAAAACAATATTGCTTGCGTAAATTTAGGATTTGAAATTAAAATAAAAAAATAAAAAGGAAAGGAAGGTGGGTGGGTGCCGCTAATGTGCGCATGGAACGCATACCGGACGGCGGCGTCGTCGAAGCGCTTGCCGGGCTGGCGCTGGCGGAGGACGTGAAGGTCGCCGCCGGGGCAGAACTCGGTGAGGAGGCAGGACCAGCGGTCGTTCTCGGCGCAGGCGTAGAGGCGGGGGAGGAAGGGGTGGTCGATGGACTCCAGGATCTCCCGCTCCGTCCGGGCCCGACCTTCCTTGCTCCGACCCTCGAGCTCCTTCTTGTCCATCACCTTGGCCGCGAGCAGCAGCCCCTCGGCCCCCGCGCACTTGAGCTCCGCCAGGTACACGCTCCCGATGTCCCCGCTGCCCAGCCGCCGCACGAACCTCAGATCGGACATCGAGAGGAGGTCGCCCCCGCCGGCGGGTGGCGCCGACGAGGACTTCAGCCGGCGGACCGCGTCGAGGACGGGGTCGCCGGTGGGGCGGGACTTGTGAATGGTGCCGGACAAGGAGGAGGAGGAGGAGAGGGAGCCGGAGAGGGTGGAGAGGGCGGAGGAGCCGGAGCGGTCCGACGAGCCGAAGCTCATGCTCTCGAGGTCATCGGCGAGGTCGTCCGGCATGGCGACCGCGAGCAGCAGACGAAGAAGGTGTTTGGCGAAATTACGAGGGTGGGGGTAGCAATCGAGAGGACGCCCCACAAAATTCGCAGCAGGCAGAGGGACAGAGTGAGAGAGAAGACAAAAAGGGAGGGGGTTTTGTGAACGACGCGGCTACGTGGGCCGGTCGGTGATAGTTGGGCCTCATGGTGGGTCTCCATGATGGGACCTGTGGGGCCTACGGGAAGCGGGCATTCCGCGTCCTGTGCGGACTCGGTCGAGCGCGGTGGTGTCTCGACATTGGCGAGACGCGGATAATGGCATCAAATCGTCCGATGCTGGACGGCCCTGATCGATTCCCCGCCGCTCATCTCGTGGCACGCAATTAAGTCAAGTGTGGGGGAGAAAATGATCTTTCAAAGCTAAATTTATATGGCAATGACTTATTAATGGAAGTGAGTCTCAATTCCAAATATAATGAACGATACGAACACATTATTATGGCAATGTCAAATGATTTTATGAAATAAAGAATCTAAAAATAATTCCGATTTTAGCTTGATTTGTTTCTAAAATCGAAATTAGAATAGGCGGGCAGGGGTCAATTATATCCTCAATCTTATATATAAAATCTCAATCATCCGCTAATGCGAGGCCCCACCAGTCCGCGTGGGACCATCCACCAAGTCCGATGTGACACAGGAAAACAGAATGAACTAATTATAAAGAAATATTAAATAAAATAATATTTATTTATAAACTCGAAAAAAGTAATTAAAAAATCAATATGTGCATGGATTATAGAACGAATTGAAGACATGTCCCAAAAAATAATAATAATAATAATCCAAACTACTCTTAATTTTTTTTTAGCCTGTATTAGTATTTTGATCTGCTATAATGTTTTGACCATCATAATAAATCAATCAAAGAAGTTTCTTGTCTCTTTCCCGTGTCATAAAAGGTGAGAATCCATGCATGCATGATGGTTGCAGCATTTGAAACATTAAGCTCGATGATCGATGATCGGTGAATGTATGGGATGACAAGATCCTGATTTTGAGCAAAGATGAGACAAAACTCTTAGGTCCTTAACCTTCCAGACACGTTACCAAAATTGTGGTGCTCCAAATGCGTATGATACACAAAAGGGTGGCAAAATCGAGTTGGGGATTCTTTAGGTGCATGAGGGAGCACGTTTCCTGATTATATTATGATAAATATCTCTATATTTTTAAAATTAAATTATTATAAATGATTAGAACATATATAATTTAGTATCTTAATCAAACTAGATGAAAAGATCATAAACTCTTTTTACTAAAAGTTCTATGATACAAATAATTAAGATAAATGATAAAAAAATATAAAAAATTAGTTTTATAATAATTATTAATAATATTTAGACTTCATTATAGTCTAAAAGATTAAAATATTTAAAATTAATTTAAATTTACTGACAAGTCATTAGTTGACATATTAAAAATAAAACTGATGAAATTCAATATGATAGTATTTGAGGAATTTAGAATTATATCCTAGCTAATAAAATTATGATAGTATTTGAGGAATTTAGAATTATATCATAGCTAATAAAGTTGTAAGCTCAAGAACAAGCTCAAGAGCATTAAGAATGAATATAACTGAGTTTTTTCTTATACAATTTATTTTTATTTTTATTTTTTTCTAGTTTGACTCATTTAAAAAGTATTATAATAAAATTAAGGATAAATGAAATTTAAATAAATTGACTAGTATATACGTTTAAAAAAATATGATTAAAGTAAGAAAATTTTATAATATTTTGAGTAGGAATGAGAAATAATAAAAGAAGGTTGAAATCTAAATCATTGACGTATATAAATACTATATAAAATTATATAAAACAAATTACAGTAAGGTGCTACTTTTTTTTTGTAAGAAAAGTCACGTGAAAGGAAAAGTTATAAGTCAATGTTATAATTTTTTTTTTTAATACTTGATGGATTGATTTTGATACTTTAACATTTATTACCAATAATAGATATTCAATTTATCATATATACTAAAAGAAAATAAAATATTTATCATTATAATGAATCATATTCAAGTGAAAATGATAGTAGTGGGTAATTATCTTCTATACCAGAGACAATTGGATATTGAGGATGCATATTATATTTTTATAATTTTAGAAATTTAGGTTCATTATCTAGAATTGTCAAGATATTGTTTTTTTTTTAGTGGTTGTAAACTCAATAAAAATTAACTTTTAAATTTTGTATGATATTTTATATAGAATTAATATAAATCTTAAGTTCATAATGATCTTGTAATTAAATATGAAAATGAAATATAGTTTTAAGAACTCCGTATTATATTTGCTTACATCTACATGTCATTCTATATTTCTTTTTTTAGTAGAAAAAGATAATTTATTATCTTTATAGATTACCTATTACCTATTACCTATTGACACTTTTAAGTATATATAAACGAAGCAGAGAGATAATTAGATAGAAATTATTAAATGGAGTGATAAATTTTATGGTAGTTATGATGGATCGATCATAATTTTGGTTCTTTTGCTATATTTCTAAGAAAGTAAGATATTTGTACTCAATATGTTTTACTAGATGTCCCACAATAGAACAATATTGCTGAAAGACAAAATCGTACTATTATGAGAAAAAGCTATAAGGACAATTATGTATATTTTGAATAGAATTCCTAGTAAGTCAATTACATAAACTCTTTTTAGTTATTAATTGATAGAAAACCTAACTTGAGATGTTTATATATTTAGGATTGTCCTATAGAGATAATTATCTTAAAATCACATGAAAATAAATTGAGTTTAGGGACTATTCTAGATATTTTATTGATTATTTAGAAAAAAAAATTCAAAATGATATATATTTTATTGTTCTAATTGATGATAGTTGAATCTAGTGACGTAGGATTCTTAAAAAATAGTGAATTAGTGGGAGTGAAAATTTTTAAAATTTAATTTCGATATTGAGAAAATATAGATTGATATTATTTTATCATTTTATATTCGAGAGATTGTTATTCCTTAGATCATTAATGATTTGATAAACGCAAATAAAAATAACATTAGAAAACTCTAATATAATATTGATATCATTGATGTTGGTTACAGATGTCCTATAAGTCAATCATGTGAGTGATTACACGTGGCATAATCTTTTTAGTTATTATTATTATGATATTTTCTTACTTTATATTATGTAATAAATATATATTGTGATATCCTTGAATTTGTGAAATGAGAATTAGATCATGATTATATCAAGATAATGAGACTAATTCACATATAAACACATATCACTAAATGTTCCCTGTCATAGGTTGCTCAAGAGGGACATCGAGATAGCTAAACAAACTGATGTGCTATATACTCGTTCATATGATGGAGGTAGCTAGTCTCATAGTTGCTTGTGTGGGGATACCAGGGATATAGTGTAGGTGTTCATTGGAGAATGAGTTCAGTAAATGATCCACTTATGAAATGTTTGATGGTTAATGATACCTCATTGTCAGACAGTAATTCTATAGTCTCAGTTGTGTGTTTGGTCCTTAGACTTGAGACACATAGAATATCATGTATGAGTAATATACTCTTTGATTCTAGACATATAGGTTTGAATGTTTTATATCTAGCACAACCGATAATCGGGAGTGATAGCCAACCTTACAAGAGTAATTGCGTGTCAATAAAGGATCATCCACTTTCGGTGTAATGAGAGGAATATCCCATGTGCTCTCGCTCAAGCAAATCCCTATCCAGGGTCGATCGAATCGTGATGAATACAATAAGCGTGAGATTCGAATTAAGAGAAAATAAGTTTTCTGAAAGAATCTGATTATAGTGAGACTCAAATGAATTTCATATGGGCCTGATAGTGTCATACCCGGTATACGATATTTGGGATATTAGATGGATGAGGGACTATAGAAACACGGTAACTGAGGGTAGATATGTCTAATGGATTAGATCTTATATATTGGCTAAGGACTATGACGTAGTGGCTTAGTACGTCCATAGTCAATGAGTTGAGTGAATTATTATAAGGATAATAATTTACTAAATCAGAAGAAGTTCTTATAAGTACAACTCACAACCAACTCAGTATTGGGCCTAGAGGGTTACACATATATGGTGGACAATGCGATGAATAGAGGATCAAATATGAGATATCCGATGAGCTCCTGTTTTATTAGATCCATTGGGTGAGATCGAATAAGCATTAGAGTAGTTATTGGATGGGAATGCAATATCCATTAAACCAGGATAATTAGATGAAGATATGGTACCCTTTAACGTAAGATCCATTAAGGTAAGCAAGAGGGCTCTCTATATATAGGAGTTGGGGTTTAAAGGATCATAGGTTAGACTCTTACTATTGCCACCTCCTACATCTCTTTCTTATCCCTTCCTCCAGTCGACTACCCTCTCTTTGGTATGAAAGGATAACAAGAGGGACTAATCCCTCCTTGATTGCTATGGTGTGATGGTGCGTGAATACGAGGAAACAACGTGCTATTCGAGGAAGTGTATTATTGTCGCATCCGCTGTGTAGATCACCGATAGAGAAGAGTTTGTAAGAGCTCCTTCATCCACCGATTGAGATATATAGATGAGGGGATATACAATCTCTCTTATGTGAGAACGTCTCAACTATTTTATGTAGTTATGTGGTTTTTGTCACTTTCGAGTTTTTCGCTCCCGATCTTCACACGACGATTTGATAAATTTATTTTTGAGAAACTAGTTTCTGTTTTTATTTTATGTTGCACATGCTCTCTTCGGTTTCCCAACAATTGTTGATGAATTTATAAAATAATTACAATCGGTAATTTTGAGAATATCTATAATTATTATATTATATATTTATAAGAATCAGAGATATATGAATCAATTAGATCTCTCATTATTTTCATAAGTTATAGAAAATAAGATTTTTAAGAGTGGTATGATATAATAAAAGAAGAGTTAAAATTAATAAAATAAAATGATGTTTAAGAACTTGTCCAATTGTCCAATTACTATAAAAAAGTCTATTAAATAAATAAAACTCAAAGGACAAGATCGAACTTTATAAAAGCTAGACGTGTAATAAAATGTTTTACTCATAAATAATGCATCGATCGTAACGAGATATTTTTTTTTTTTTTTTAAATGAACTCGTTAAAAGTTGTTATTATATTAGTGGCTCATTATGATTTTGAGTTGTATCATATGGATATAAAAATAAGTTTTTAAAATGAGGATTTAGATTTATACGGTCAATCTAAACAATTCTCAAAGAAAATAAAAGAAATACAAAATTTGATATGCAAATTTAGGAAATCCATTTATGACTTTAAATAAGTCTTTAGACAATGGTATATAAAGTTTCTTAATATCATTACTTTCTTTATATTTAAGAAAAATACTATTTATTAGTAGTCATATCTAAATATTAGTAAGAGCAAATTTATTATATTAAATTTATATACAGATAATATTTTACTTACTAGTAGTAATTTTGGTTTATTGTACTAAACTAAGAAAATTTTCAACGAGAATTTTAAGATGATTGATATGAATGATGTATCTTATGTCATTAGCATTAAGATATTTAAGAATATATCTTAAAGATTAATAAAACTGTCTTAGAAAGGATATATTGATCAAATTTTGAGAAGATTTAGTAAATTCAACAAATGCCATAAATAAAAAAATTAATCAAAATAAGTATTTTTAAAATTATTTAGAAAAAAATTAGATAAAAAATATTCTTTATGTACGGTTGGAAGTCTATTATATGCTCAAGCCTATATCGTATCAGATATTAGTTTTATAATTAAAATATTAAATAGATGTTATAGTTACCTAGAAATGAAAATACTAAAAGACTACAAAGAAAATAGTAAAATATCTGGACGGGACGAAGGATTATATGCTCATATATAAAATTAGATTAGCTTGAAATGATAGTATTTTTAGTTATTGATTTTGTAAATTGTATAGATAATAGGAAGTTCATTTTACAATTTATATCTATATAAGTTGAAACGATAATTTATAAGAAAAAAATATAAAGTAATATGTTATTATATTATTAATAATATAAGTTGATTTTGTGATATATTTGAGGTCACTAATTAAGTTTTATGACTATAGAATTTTATCTCAGAACTTGGTCTAACTTAATTACTAAGTCACTAAATATACTTTGGAATATATCATAGTAGTTTTCTTTTCTAAGAATGATAAGTACTGTTATAGTTCTATGTATTATGATATAAAGTACTGATTAGAAAAAAAGAGTCCAAAAAAAATTAATATTAATTAAGAACTTGAGTTATATTGTATTGATTGTTGATCCATTCACTTAGCACTTTAAGTGTTTGAAAGAAGATGTTCTTATGATTGAGTTTCTAATTGATATATGATAATGCATATTTAAGTAGACATTATAATTGACATTCTTGCTTATGTAATTAAAGTTACTTATTTCTACTATCTTATTCATATTTATGTATATACATATTATAATTTAATGTCCTAACATGATTATGTTGACAAAACAAATTATATGGATTATTTTAGACTACATTAGGAATAGCTAACAATGTTATAATACATTGATGACATATAATTATGACTTGTATCGATAGTCAAACTTAATGTGATATTATGTTTATTAGATTTATTGACCTATTTTATAAAATTCGTGCACGTGTAAAATATTTTTTTGAAGTTTTAAATTCCAATTAAATAAAATTATTTTTAAATAAACTTTTATTTTATTTATTTTAATTATAAATTTTTTATATCTTATTAATTAATAAGTTAAATGAAAAAATGTTACATTATGTGATCTTATTTGATTAGGTAAGATATATTAAAAATATGATTAAATTTTGATTATGATTATGAGAAAGAATATCTAATTATAATAGGATTCTTCAAGAGATGATATTGATGAGAATGACTCTCTTAATTATTTATCCTAATCCTATACTCTCGTTCAATCCATTCAGTCCATAAATAAACATAATATCATAAGAATTAAAAAACGATGATACATGATATTATTGAAAGATTATATCTTCTCTCATCCGACAAGGATGCATCTGTAGATCAAATAAAAACTTCACGAGTAGCATCAAAAATTACGCATCAAAAAAACATCAGAAGATAAATCCTTAATGTTGTTACCAACACAGAATATTAGAAGAATCATACAGGCATTTATGTTTAAGAAATGAATCAAATCATCCAAGTAACTGAAGAGCAACTTCCCATCTCTAATCAGAATCGGATCATCTGCTTGGTCCAATAATCTTCATGTATATGCAAGGTGCCAATGCTGCCACGATGACAATAGAAGCTTTTGTGACCATATTGCCAGTGTTATAGTCAGCTTGCTGTTTCCTCAAAGGAAAAATGTTAGTAATCATTGCAAAAACGAAAAGATTGATGGTATGATATAAATCTTCTATATAATCATCACAATTCATACATCATAACGACCTATGCCACCATGCCCCAAGTATGGGGAAAATAAATGCTAACATGAAGGGATTAATATGGTACAATATAATAAGATCTATCTGTATGCCACAAATGATGGGCCTTACCTATTTCATCGAATATGCTACATGAAGCTACTGCAGCAAAGCTGCTAACTATGAGTTCAGCCAACTTTCTTCCATGATTAAAATAAATTGTGCATCTTCTCAAACTATATAGGTTTTCTTTAAGACTTTCCTGCCTCGTTTCCTTCGTGGGTTGGAATCAGCCATGATATTCAAGGCATTAACAATCTCTGCATCCTCGTCATTCCAAATGTTTCTGGCAGCATCTGGTTTTTCAATCAACAGCTTTGCCACCAGGAAACCTGCAATCGACCAAGTTTGGTACAGATGAGCTTGTTTCCCAATAAATCGTGCTCGCTTGGTATCGTAATATTCAGGCCACTTGTCTGTTGCTAGGCGCCTCTCTGCAACGTCAATGGCTTTTGCAGCAATTTCTGGCCTGTTCATCTTAATACATGCAACTGCAAGCTACAACAATCAACGAAGGATAAGTCAGCCCTAGATTGTTTTTAACATTCACTAACACACCAAAAAAATGAAAAGTTGAGTTTATTCATGTGAAGATCATCTCTCGGAAACAAATGAATCAGAGCCAAATATAACTTAAGGATCTTCTCAAGTTGCAACAACTCTATTTCCACCAACAAAACAGGGTTCAAGCATTATGAAATCTTAACAGGTGGAATGTGGTTCTTAATATACCAAATTCATGAGGGCCTGAGAGCAGTTGTGCGGAAATCAGGCCATAATAATGAGAGAATAGGCATTACGAGGTTCGGCATATAGAATTACTCTTTCTATAAAATCCATTATCCAAATATCTCTGGAGACCAATCTGGCTACTTTAATGACTGTCAGTAATCTATGGATGCAAGATGTTTATTAGAGGACCCACCTTGATAATGCATAAGATACCTTCTTGATGCTATATTGTTGCCACTACAATAGGTTTTCATATTCAAACTCAGCAAAAGTCAGCTATTTATATGCATAACATAAATATGTACAAGATCTCAGGCTAATGCCAAGAACATCAATGCAACCAGAACAAAAATAATCCCAAACAAACTAATGTTACCACCGAAGATTAAAAAAAAGAAACTGAAAATGTGATAGAGGTGTATTTCCTACCTGCCAGAGCAATGTTGGCCATGAACCTCCATTGTGGTATGACCAAGGCCTGCAGAAAAGTAGAATCAAAGATTAACATAAGGAACTGGAAACTCAAATGGGGAGAACCTACAATGGATCTTAAGGCTTTACGTGTTTTTGGGATCACTTCCAGTAATAATTCGCCATTCCTGGCCCTCAAGAGCAGGATAACAGATCTTAAGTGGCATATCTGCCACTAAATCAGACCATTTAGCCTCAATAAGATCCAAAATGGCATGTGATTGATGTGTTGTTGCCAGACTGCTTACTACAGACCACAGATTTCCTAGAGAAAAGAATCGGAAATCCATGTGAGCAGGCTGCAAGTTTCCAATGAAATAACCTCCTTTATCAGGCATCCATTCCACTAGCCACGGAGAAATTTGATCAGGGTAGATGTTAAACTTGTTCACAGCATCATAAGAATACTCTTCTTGTTTGTATCGGTAAATCTCATTAAGTTTTCTCTTGTCTACCCAATAATACTCCTGAGTATGAAATGATAATGCTATTAGCCTGTTATTCAATGCTCGAATAAGGTCAGCTGATCCATCCTCTGGTGCAAGCATCTCACGAGCACTTAAAAGTGCTGAATAGAACAGTGCCTGGCACATTCAAACCTCAGTTAAATACATCCCTGATCCATGAACTAAAATAAAATATACTGCAGCAGTTAAAGAACAATGTAAAAAAGCCCATTAGGAAGGTGCTGATATGTCATCCATTCAATACATTCAGAACTATATGTGGATATCCTTTACCAAGCATATTCCCAGAAGATTCTGACATAAATGGCTTGCCAGCGTCATGTTCCTTATTTCCTCCCTTGAAAGATTTTGGGAAAAAGAAAAAGCAAATGCATAAAGGCATACAACAACAATAACAAAATCGTAAGTCCCAACTATTTGGGGTTCACTACATGAATCTTTGGCCACCATTGAGATATGTAAAAAGCCATATATTTAGTTAAGTTAAGAGTATTTATATCTTTATTTATATATAGTTTCTATTAAAGTCTTTTTAGGTCTTCCTCTACCTTTACTCATACCACTAACATTAATAATTTTATTTCTTCTAGCGCATCCGAATGTCTCCTAAACACACTCATACCATCTTAAAAGATTTTCTCTCATCTTACCTTCTATCGAGACGATACGTAATTATTCACAAATAAAAATATTTTTTTTCCTATCTTTCCTAGTAATTCGATACATCCATCTCAGCATTCTCGTTTCGACAACACAAACTTTTTGTATATATTTTCTTAATTGTTCGGCACTTAGATCCATAAAGCATTGTCGGTCTCACAACTATCTTATAATTTTTTTTTAAAATGTATAAAGGTATAAGATCTTATATTTGAAAAATAGATGTTATAATAATAGAGGCCAAACCTGAATTTCAAGAGGGTGGCCATGAATCCCCATCCGTCGATCTATCATGCATGAACCATCTGTTACTAATAATGTTGGGAACATGTCAAAGCCGTCAGCTAGACAAAGCTTTAAAATCATCTTAATGCCTGTTTGCACATCAATTCTTTCCTGGACTGAGAGATCACCAGAACATTTTCCATAAGCTCGTAGTAGTATAATCCACCATAACCCTACAGTTGAAGATGATAGCATCTTTAACACTTGGCCAATACTTAGCACACTTGCAAAAATAAAATTGAATAAAACCCATAAAACATCCACAATAAAATAGCATACAACATAGGGACCAACTAAAGCAAAGGGCAAAAGACCTCTTATCAACACTAAGTGCAGCATGAGACCATTAAGTACTAATGAATAATTTACAGGTAATTGTCAGCTATGCAGCACTACTTGAAAACACACCTGAATCGACTGGTGCTACACGTCCTATTGCAGCTTCTCCAAAATCAGGATCCAAGACTTCTTCTGTGGCAGAATCATCGCCATCAAGTGGAACTGTCCTCACCTTGAAGCTAGCAGGCATCAATCCCTGGCCTGGACTGTGACAGTCCATTGTTTTTTCCCAGCTCTACATATTTAGAAACAAAATTTTAACTGAAGATATCTACAAAACAGTATATGCAGCCACCAAACACCATAATATGAATGTCCTTATTCCTAAATTCTTAATTTACAATGTTAAACTAACTACAAGCCTATAGGATTTTTGGGTGATGCTGGAAAATTCTCAAATTTTTCTGTGAAATGTGGAACCATAAAGTCGGTCCTACAACTTCATTTTTAGATAAGTAATGAGTCCAAAACCATGCTAATATATGATGCTAGTGAAAAAATGTTGAAAGAAAAGTCACCACCAAGAGGTGCTGTGTCAAAATGATAAAGTTTCTCAACAAGAAATTATACTGGAAGAACTAAAAGAAAATGAAAGTGAATAAAGCTAAATAATATTCAGAGTTAATCAGATAGGTAAAATTATCAGCAAAAGTGAAATCACCCATAAAAGTCAGATTTTTACCGGAGAATACCACATCACACAGTCAGAAATCAAACTGTAGTGCTATAAGGGTGAAAAAAGGGGGGGAAAACCTGGAAAATAAGGATGTCTGGCAAAACAACAAAATGAGAATTAGGTGCTGAATAAGAAAATGAAAGCAACCCTGGCACCTTTCTGAATTTAGGACTTTTGTGCTACTTTTGTCAATAGCTATTGTAAAGACTAAAGACAACATGAAACTTCTAGCTCACTTTCTTGGTCACATATTCAGATCACGGCCATGCTAAAGCATAACCTATGGCCAACCACATACACTTCAAATCACAATCATGGATGACAGCAGAAAGAATTACCTGTAGCTGAAGAGTGTGAAGAATGAAGTTGCGAACAATATCATATTCTCCCTTCAAAAGAAAAGCCATTCCAGAAGGTATGAAATCACGAATAAACACCTGATCATAATTTAGGCAATTGCTACTGCTATCAGATGGATCCTTTGCGGCAATTGTTCCAACAGGGCTGCCACAGTAATAAACCACAGAATCCTGTAAAAGACGCCATGCTTCATCCTCAATAGAGTTTCCTCTTGTCTTGTATGACGAATGATTGGATGCTTCATTGTTAGGCATGACAGAACCATTCTCGAAACTGATAACTTTCTGGCCATTAAGATCACCAAGGATCTGGTTTGCCTGACTCACAGACTCTGTGAACCACGTCCTATTGGCATCCCCGCTGGTCATTCCATCAGCGTCGTCTACTCGCTGGCACTGGCATTTCAAAGACCGTGATTGGTCATTGATGTTCCTGACTCTGTAATCCCTGAAGCAATTAGTCGACATCCTTGATACGGAACATCGTGAAGCAAATGAAGAACTTCTCCTCCGGTACTTCCCGTGAGCTTTCGAGTGGACATCTACTTGTGGAGTGTTTGCAAAAAAACCAGCAAAAGAATGGGCAGGTGCAGCCCCAAATATGGCATGACGAACTATTTCTGTAGTCCCCATCATCATAGAAATCCAGATAAGAACAATAGATCTGATTGATTCAATGTTACAACAAAAGCAAGCCAGCAATTATCTGTGCACACGATCCAGAGGCCTGAGTACAAGGATCACAAAGGAATGCCATTACAATCAAGAAAATATCAATATTAGGCTCCAGGACAATAAAAATGAATCCGAAGCACAAGAAACTCCCACCATGTCAAATTAATCTCTGTTCCCTTTTATTCTGAATTAAAATAAGGATTATCGAGTCATTTGCTCTCCCGTTTCACTAGCAACCACCAATAATTGGGAGTTCACTACAAGATATTTATTCTACCGGATTCAACGATCCTCAAGAAACAAAAGTAACTACAACAAAAGCAGCAGAAGTTTCGTGGTTTGCTTGATATCGATGCATCGATCAAGGAACCTGTAAACCCTAGTCTCGCGACACGAAATGATCGACGACGATCACGGAAGAGGCGGAGGAAACTGACCTGGTGGCGAACGATCTCGGCCCAGGTGGTGGTTGGTGAAATGTATGGGGACGGCAGAGCGCTATTCCTACGCAAGCGAACTACTACCGACCCGCCTCCGGCTCGGCGATTAGACGACGAATGCAGGAAGCGAGGGGAATAAAAAGCGCGCACGCGTCTTCTAACCACCTCATAGCCTTTTGTGCAACGGGTGGAAACGGCGCCGTCAAACAGATAAGAACGAGACGACTGGGGCAAAAAGAAAAATGTGATCGTGATGCAAGTGGATGCGTACGTCATTGTCACCCAATTCACTTTCAGAAAAAAGAAAAATTAGAATACCCACTAGAGAGAATAAGAAATTAGGAAAACGAAAAAAATCATTGTGACCATATAATTTTAGATTTTATCCAAATGGACCTCGACTGCCCACCTTGACCTGATTTGATGTGTAGGGTTCAATTGAGACTCGTCATGGCATCTACCTCGACCTGCAGCATTACTCAACACGAGATGACTTCACCGTGATGATCTGAAAGCTACCACTGCTCGTGCTTGCGCTGGGAGTGAGGCCACAGGTGTTGCAGAAAGGTCCGTCATCAGCAATTTATGATCGGTCTACAGCAAAAGTAGCAACTAACCTCACGGCAAAAGGGTGTGTTTTCGGTCAGTGAAATCATATCTCATTCAAAACGTAATTTTATCGAACAGATGGCATCATGTTTTTGAGAGAGAGGAGACATCACCTCGTGGCTGTGGTTAGCGTCGCCTGTGAGTCAGTAGAGGACAAGAAAGAAACACTACCAAAAACCAACAAACAAAAACTGATCCATTCATTATATACGAATACATTTTAAGTGAGTTGGACAATAAATCTATGTGCACAAATTCGTTTGCTGCCCGAAAGAAGCAAAAATGAGTATACATTGGAGAAGCATAACAAAGGCAACAAAATTTCAAGGGCCATCCTCCATGTTGTGATCATTATCGTTGTCCCCTTCGAAATACTCGTCGTCTCGCTGAATTTGCTTATCGGTGGTATGCTCTAATTAACATTTCAAAGAAGACTTAGATTGCTTCAGTGAGAGAGAAACACGCACACAAGAGTAACTTTTCAAGTTAAACCTAAATTACTGAAATTATTTTAGCCTAAGAATACTGACTTGCAGAAGTAAAATGCTTTATATATATATATATATATATATATATATATATATATATATATATATATATATAGTTGAAAGATAATTTTACAAAGCAAAAACATCATGGGCTTTTCTCCACACAATAACCTAGTGTGGCAACATCACTTGTACCCATAGACAAACAGGAAATTAGCTGGCATAAGGATGTGAAAAGTTAGCCAATATTTTCTACATGATAATCTATAGAATATAAAACCTTATTAAGGGACAAATTGCAGGTTAATAATTACATAAAATACTTGGATTATTAATGGCAGTTTTAAGACCAATTACTGCAAATATGAAGAAAACTAAAGAAAAATTATTGATATGGAAATGCAGCATCAAATAATACAGTAAATAATTAGCACTTACGATCAACTCGTTCATCAGGATTTTGTTCATCTTCGTCAAATTCTGGGATATAAAAATCTGGCGGAACCTGCAAAATAAATTATCTTAACAATAATTTTTTCAGTCAACAAGATGTCTCAGCTTTCTCTATGTATAGATCAATAATCCTCGATAACAAAAAAAGATATCAGTTAGCTAAGATGATTACACACTTATTTAACAGAGTCATAGCCATCTAATAAAATATTGATGGGTCTTTCAATGTTTATGAAACTCTCTGATTTACATATCTCAAAATTCAATAATCTAGAGTAGACATAATCAGTAATCATTCTAATAACAAATAGAAGAAAAGGGACCACAAATTATAACTCAGATACCAATTGTTATCAGAAAAGGGGAAAGAAAGTCAAGAAGAGAAGAAACTAAAAATCATAGGGACAAGCTATCATGTAGAAGAGAGAAGGCTAGATATGATGGTAGTCCTACAAACAAATATGTAACAATAAAGAAGAAAGGTTCCAAAACCAAATCTGAAACCTAAGATAGAATACAAAGCTCCCTTGGACAAGAATGTGGCATCTAGTGCAGTGTCAGAACTCAAATCCCCAGGTGTTATAATTATAGACTCTGTGAGCTTTCCTGTAGTGACCAAAATGCTGAAAAGCTAATGTCCAGAAATTGCTACTAATAAGAGACCTGCATGCTTTATGTTTCATGTCAAATCAGACTGCCATACCAAGAAAGCAAACAACAATTTTATGGAGGTTACCTCAACCCTCATTGTGGACATGCCAAGGTCAATTTGGCCACTAGGTTTCAACCATAATGATGCAGATCGTCATCTGTGTTCTTCTAGTAACACATTACAAGTATTGATAACAAATGCAAAGAGAAGGAAATTTATCAAATTGGTTTATTTGAAAACCTATTTTTTGCTGTAAGTTTCCAGCAGTATAAATATCACAACTTTCCTTACAGTTTATTATTTAAGTTGCAATTAAGATTCCTACATCTACTAAGGATCCACCACTACAATAAACATGCAGAACGTCACTTCTCTTCATTGTTGAAAATTTTATGATGTTAAACCCACTGACGTCAAGGAAGAAACTGGCACAGAATCACTGGAAAAGCTACAGAATTATATAAAGATGAGAAATAGAGACTGACCTCCTGCATTTGAACCCCAGGAGCATGTTGTATGCACCGTAAACTTTCTAGAACTTGCACCTTGATTGTGCTAAGATATGACTTGCTATTCAAGTTCTCCTGTTCCAGAAAGTAAACTGAACAGATTAGAAGTGGTGAATACCCATGGCTCCTTGATATATACAGCCTACAACACTTTGAATGACATATACTGATTGGTAGAGAGTCAAACAGAATATCTGAGATCCAACTAATTGACACAAAGCTCTGGTTCTTGTCTAATGGTATGTGATTGACTAAAGAAAGACAATCATGGTACTAGCATCACAAAATTCTAAATGGCATGGGTTACTTTAAAAAGACGTAGAGACTACTCAGAAAAGCACCTACCATATTGCCATTCGGAATTTTTAAAGTATAATCTGGTGCAAAATACTTGATATACTCGTTTTCTGGAATTTCTGTAAGCAACAAAATTTAAAAACTTGGATAATGTCTTAGTAGCAAAGTGAACATTGAATAAACAGAACTTAGAAGCAAGTAGATCCAATAAAAGTTCTTAAAAGTGCAGATCCAGCAATGAAAAAAATGAAAGACCAAAACAAAAGCAACTGCAAATTAAATTCATGCCGGTTAGCCACTTTGTATAAAGAGATCAAGGATAGCCACTTTTCCTTGATACATCTTCTACTTAAGTTCCAAAGCATTATGTTCAACTAAATCCATTCCCATACCATTTGGAAGATCTGCGTCTAACAAAACACCAGTTTCAACAGTCCAGCAGCGAGCAACATTTTCTTTTGTGTATCCTCCACCACCAGTAACCTGCAGAAGAAGAAATATTTTGATACTTAAACCATGTTCAGTCTAACATATCTATCTAGCTTTGACACTTACCAACAGAGGCAAATTGAATTTCTTCACAAATTTTACACATTCAGAATGTCCTGTTAGCAACCAACAAATGAGCAATAAATAGATATGCAAAATTAAATTGTAGAAATATAAACTCAACAACGAATGTAGGATCACAATCATATTTGTGACTCTGATATATTCCTTGTGATCTAAAAGTTAAATTTATGATACACATTTGCAATTTATATACAATAGGTACTTGCAACATCACCTAAAACAATTCAATACCAATGAAAATTTTAGGTAAAAATATCAAAACTACAGAGTCGTGTGAGCTCATTGTACATAAAAGAAAGAGACATAACATTATAAAAAGATTTAACACCTTCAATGGAGAGATTGAAACAGCCTAAGCGGTCACCCGCAAGTGAATCAGCTCCACATTGAAGAACAATTACACCTGGTAGATATGTTTCAACAACCTTGGCAATAATCTACACAAATGAACAATGCAAGAAAGTGACTTATTAACAATGAAGATAAATAATTGACCTAGATATAACTAATTGAATTTGTATATGCTTGCTCATGTCTTACCGTTTTGAATAGTCGAGTAAAACTAGCATCATCTATTCCATCCTTGAGTGGGACATTAATGGCATAATATTTCCCTTCTCTTTCACCTATATCCTTGAATCAATACATTCTTATCAATCTCAAAATGCCACAAATATTTATCCAGAAAGAGATATTAAGAAGCAAAGTTACAAATGCAAAATTAACATATGGAGATAATTTAAAAGCAGTACAGAAACGGATAGGAAAATTTTCAGGATTGACACAACATCACAGTACAACATATACCACAAAACTCAGGAATTTTATTGCAATTAAGGATGAGAAAGAGCATCTGCAAAATGCATTAATCTATTAGCAGACAGCTCTTTTTCAGAGTTCAAAATTAGAACATGTAGCTAAGAGTCTTTATCTTCCTTTCCAAAATTTCAACAAAAACGCTACCTTTAAACTTTCTACTCTTTTCTGCAATGGAGCAAGGATGAATCTAGTCCAATAAACAATCCACAAAAAAACCCATATTCAATTTACTTCATAAGGGATATCTTCCAACAGATTCCCATTAATTAGAAATGTGTATTTTCTTCTCCCAAATCATTAATTAGACAGGCTGTAACTAGATATGAGTATTTTCTTCTTCCAAATCATTCTGTCGTAAAATGCATGTTGTCAGGTAGATGAGCACATGTGCACATGCACACAAAAGAGACCATGGATCCAATCGTGCAATCAAATTATGCTAGCATATGAGATAATTGTAATGTTGGCACCCAACAAAATCTAGAACTCTAGACAACACGTCACTACAAGTTCAAGTCCCAAAACCTACTGGGAGAAAGAAAAATGAAAGTTTATCCTTAAGAAAGATGCCACCAATGATATTGGAAAACTATTTACCATGAACATGTGTTGAAATTTGAATACCTAAAGAAACCTACAATGGTTACTAAATAGCAAATCTAGCAAACAGAAACCGAATATCTCCATGATGGATAAAAACAGAGTTACTACATTCTGCCATCTAGCCCCAGATTAATGCCTTTTGTTCATTTCCTTGTATCCTCCCATTGCTTGTACATGCAGTGCTCTCAGAGAAAATA